ATGCCTGCGTCATGCACCCACGAGACGACCAGTCATGGCAGAGAGCAGCGACGATGGAACCATCCGTGTTCAGGCATATAATTTCAATGCAATGAAGCAACTTCAGGCTGATTACTATACATGGTGAAAAAATGTGCATAGTAAGGAAACAACCAATTTAACATGGTAAACGGTCAGCTGAATCCGGAAATGGGAAAGTATTTGGGTCAATCTCCACCTCCGACTGTATACCTAATACGGGACTAGGGAGTGAGAAGCAAACAAGTCAACTAAACGGCATATCCACCTCAGATTTATGTGCATAATGCTGTACGGAGGTTGACTTCAGCACCTTACCACCATGTATTCATCTAAGGCAGCCTTTCATTCCCAACGGCCAAGACGACGACGTTACAAGAAGGTGAGGGCAGAGATGAGCAAGGCGTAGAGTACTTTCACCATGATTATATTGACCATTAGGATTCCGTGACACCACCATTCCCCCCGAGGTGGTTGTTTCCATTTTGCATTTGAGAGATCACCGCGAGGATCTCTCGTTGGGAAGCACCAGAACGGATGATAGAGACTAATCGGGCTACAGTCTCTTGATCCTCGTTGCAAACCAAATCCAGAAGTTGTTCGAGAAAGCTTCTGTAGTAATCCGAATCCTCGGCAAAGCTAGTCTGGAGTAGGGGATCTGTGTTCGGAGTCTCGTAACTAGAGACTTGGTAACTATCACTGCTTTGGTTGTTTGAGCTGTGGTTGTTCGAGCTGAGATTATTCGAGCTGAGATTATTCGAGCTGAGATTGTTCGAGCTTTGGTTGTTCGAGCTTTGGTTGTTCGAGCTTTCGTTATTGGAACTTCGATTGTTGGAACTGCGATATGAGGTTAACCACATAAGTATGTGCGATCACAGTCTCTATACTGCAAGCCGATTACCTCTGCTCCGAGTTTTGAATATTCTGACTGTTCATCATGCCGTGCGGTTCGCAGTCGTGGTTGCTTGTTCAACTGGAAATCACTAACTGCTCGCTCGGCAGGCAAGCTCGAATACAGAATCAAACTCAAAAGAAGGTGATAAGATATGGCCTTTAATTTGAAGCGAGACAGTGGTGCACGGAGTGAGGGTTGGTTGGCGGACGTGTTTAAGCGAGAGCCGTGGCTGCAGTTAAGTCAGTACGTCTGGCGTGCAGACGTCGCTGGCGGACACAAGCGAATCTTATACGTCCCAGGGGTATCACAAGGTGGTTGACAAGGATAAAATCGTTCTCCACTCCTAAGGCTCTATGGGTATAAAGGTAGGGAAATATAATCCAAAGGAGAAGAAACCAAAATGTGGAAGGGAAAAAGAAATATTTCAGATTGAATCACGCCACAGCATCATCCAAGTGATTTGCTCGACACCTCTGAAGCACCATAAGCCCCCGAGAACTCAGCACGGGGATAAGAACCAGTTGGGTCTCTTTTCTGTCCAGGTGGCTAAAAATACGGCCATTGCCTGTGGTCCATCCAATTGAACAGACGCGGGTGCTCAACGATTTGTTTCCATTTGACGGCCAACTCACCCTGCATACCACTCTAAGCGTCCGCAGAACCCCTTACCAGCAAGGACGGGCAAAAGGTTAGAAAAGGGCCAGTAGTCTGGAATACCCTCGGCAGCACTGGAGGGAGACAATGAGAAAAGACGGATCGGTGACTTCAACCGGTGATTAGTTGGGGCTATATGGGCCTCGGAGAAAACTGCCAGCCAATCTCATGACTTGTTTTTCGTCTCCGCCACCAATTTTCGGGAGGCCTTGCTAACCTCCCGGCACATCATAACGGATCTATGGCTTAAAAGCATGATCCCACCCACCTTATTTGCCTTTTCGTCAGTATGTGTGTTTTCCTTCTGATTCACCGAATCATGTTCGAGTTGCATAGTAAGGGTAGTGTCAGGAAAAGACTTCCGGGATCAACGACTCGCGCGTGACCTCTTGTCACCCACTTGTTGTAACCACGGATAGGCAATGGTCAGACATGGTCCAAGCTAATCAGATCCCCTCGGCGTCTACAGGATAGACGTTTCTACTTGAAGATGCTGCTTTTTCTTCATTATCTCCCCCGATGATGCCTTGGCGCGAATTTGCAAGCACTCCCTTTTGCTTTCTCGATGACGAACAGCCCGCACGTCCCATGGAAACAAACTAGTTCCGTCGAGATTGTGATATACCGGTCAACATCATTCCGCTCGATGGATCCCATATAGCTTGCTCATCAGAGAAGCCAAAGCCAGAGCCACTTCCGAACCCAACGCAGCCTTGTTGAGAATAAGAGCCACTTCACATCTTGCCCGACATGTTACCCGTTTCTGTTTCGAGAAAAGTGCAAATCTTCAGATCGCAGAGACCGATTGCATAGATTCAGTGCCCCTTCCAGAATGCGTGATGCTCCCGAATAAACACAAGCCTGTCTCAACCACTTTAAAGCTAGTCATCATACTGACGATACCACGCGTATAACGCCGAGCTTGGAGTGTGAGAAGGTCAGCATAGGCTGTCTGATACTTGTATGCCGGTGTGGAGTTCCTCTGTGTCACCATACCCTTGTTAAAAGTAGCGTTCTCGCCGACTCAAATCGCACCGCGGATTACCAGCAAGCCGGCCTTACAAGATGCCGGCACATGGATAATGAGCAGGTGGCGATGTTTGTGAACAATTAAGCATGGGTACCTTTCTTTCGCCCTTCACTTGGAGGGAAAGGGAAGTATGCATGTAAAAAAAAAAAAGCCAAGACAGAAGCACCCGGTAACTCGGTGCCGATTGGCACAAATTGGAGTCGCCCCTAGGAAGGAAAAATAATCCCGGTAATTCTATTGGAACTCCATTTGACGCTTGTCCAGGTGCTCATTTAGGGGAACCTTGGGCTATGTAACTCAAACCCGCCTACTTGAGAACTTATCGCAGGTCAAGATTCCGGGAAACCTGATCAGGTGATTTGATAACTATTGAGTCCTGTGGCTGGCACCCGCAGAACTGGGGCATGGAGTTAGTGGCCGGGCAGCACGGAAACGACCGGACCATCTAGTGGTGGCGGTTACCTATTGAAGGCCACGGTCAATTAGCTGGCTGACGGTTCGGGGGTTTCCATCAGAATGTCTGCATCAAAGCCCACATTGCTGGAGGAAACGCGGCCCCTGAGTATAGAAGATATGACGAAGTTTCAGCGTCAGTGGCGAGACGGGGTGTTAGATAGCCACCGTTGGGAGGTGCAATTCATTTAAAGGGCGTCTTTCTTCACCGCGGTCAGCGGATATAACTGCATGGAACAATGCGCGCAACGCTCATCATAGTCGACCAAAAGTGCAGTACTGTTCTTATATATGGTTCAAGCATCGGATTGGGCAGGGTAACAGTGGGTTGCCATCTGTGACTAGGAAGAGCCCAAGTGACATCTGTTATACCTGCTTACATTCACTGATTTGCCATGTTCGTATTCAGCGACGTTATGATGGCAGCATAGCTCTATGTCAAAGTTCGTTCGGGAGCATATCCTTTCAAGTTGTTCTGAAAGGTGTCAGCTATCCACTCGCTTGGAAATTATATCCGGCCGCAGTGGAGTTCCTGAGTAGCATTCAGCCGACATCTGCAACTGCTTTGTTTTGATTGCGATGAATATCGCTCCTCAAGGATGACAGAATGTATTCCTCTCTCGTCTTCGTTTGTGATTAATAGACGGCTCCTCAGAAGCATTTTGCGTCCTGCATTGAGTGTGATGTTTACCAATGCAACTGCCTACCCGACTCCCTCGGCACTCATAACGGGAACGCTACGGTCAGATTTAATACCTCTCGAACATAGCGTTACAAATTTACGTTAAGGTCTCCCTGCATGGATCATTGGCTGCACTCGTTGGGGGTGTAAAATCGGGGAAGTATTCAATCACCAAAAGTAAACTGGCTAAATTACCAACCAAAAGATGAGGCTCTACGGTGAAATACATTCGTTTTCAAGAGGCTAACAATATCCCCATGGGGTGTACGATCTGTCGTTACGACGCTGGAGTTAATTCGAGGTATTGATATCAATCTGGCAGAGACAGGAAAGCAAGGGGGACCGGCTTCAAAGCAACTCATTAGCCGCGAAGTTTTTCCAACTAGATGTTCAACTATGGACAAATATTAACACCTGTCCAGTAAACTCTAATCTGTTCGGTAGAGAGAGAGAATCCTACATCAAATGCTGGGGCTGGCAAGCAAGGAGCGATAAAAGGGCAGAACTAAACCGACCACCAATACTTTTTCCAAGATAATGTTCCCTGTGGCAGTCCCTCAAGGCGTGGACTTGCTTACACTTAAAGAACCGTCGCGTCTGCCCGAAACCAATGACGCGCCCTTGAGAGGGGCTCCCTTAGATTCATCTCAGGTCCCGGGTTCTATAAACAATCGTCCCCCTTCGTTATTCCTGCCAACCCCTACTTAGGACCTCTCAATAGCTCTGCATTTGCTATAGCCTGAAAATACTAAACATTCATGATCCATACCTTCATCTGCAGCCAGAGATTCATAGACATCGTCACCCAACTTGTAATCTCTGTATACATCAACTGTATATTCCTCCAAGGAGTAGGCAGGTCCAAATCATAGTGCGTTTATCCAAGACTCTGAAGAAAATAATCAAAAACAAAAGGAGAGCATGTTTGTTTGTTTGCCACATGCCCCAGGCAAGCCAAAATTCCTGACACCGCGTTAATGCGCTGTCTCTAACATTCCTTCACGCCAACCGTGTTGACACACCAATGAAACCTCCATCAACCCCATAAACAACTCTTCTCTCGTCCACCCGACTTCCGCCCCATTCCCTCCCCATCCAAGGTACCTAGGTCCCCCTTGCATATCACCAGAAACGGGACATGGGTGTCAGTAGTTAAAGTATCCTGCACGTCCTCACTCATGTAGAACATCTACTTTCTATATCTATAAAGTCTTGATTGAACATACAACCTTATCCACATACCAAGATCAATCAATATAAATCTCAATATGAATATGCGCGGCCAACTCTCCGTGCGTTACATCACCACCCTCTGCCTCTTGGCCACAGGGATCTACGGCCAAAAGATGGAAAGATCCGATAGAATCGATACGGGAGACACACTCTGTGTAGGGGCTTGCGTGACGAGCGTACATGAATTGAGATGCGAGACTCCTACCGTGCCCTTGGTATGTGAACACCTTTTGTTTCTTCCTTTCGCCTTTCCGCCATTTCCTATACACTTTTTTTTCTCCTACCGGATATGGTAGACGTGAACGCTAACCAGTGCCATCGTATATATAGTTCCGACCAGCGAAGGGGTGCTACGCTTGCTGTTTTTCGGATGACCATGCGGATGACTGGGCGGATCACATTAACTGGGGAGGTGAGAAACATCCAGAGGGGGAGAAGTCGTGACCCCGGGTATAGATTCAATTAGTTTTGGAAGAGACTGCATAAGAGTTGTGTGGTTGAGTGGGCTTCAAAAGATTTGTTATCCTCCCTCTTTTTTGTTCTCCTGGATATTGGAGCAAATTGATGATATCAGAGTCGAGGGACTGGCATTCAGCGAATGATCATTGTGAATATCGTTGCATGTTTGGACTTGCTTTGCATGCTAGGGGGATGTTCAGGGATCTTTCTTTCCTTCACCAGAATGTATATTGAATGTACTCGAGGTTTACCTACACTGGCCATCGTCGTGACAGACATCTTACATGTATCATATCCGATACAGCCTTTTAATGTACAGCTGATTCGAGAGAAAGTACGTTGATTTGAAAGTGTGATCCTTTCAACTCGTGTGGTGCGTAGTACAGTACATATACTGCAACGTATGTACTGCTTGTCAGGGCTTGGTAGCCCTAACATAACTCTGCCTACGTATAGTGCTTTAGTGCAAGTATCAGTACAGTAATTCCATGGATACAGAAATGAGTAGGAAAAAACTCATTGATAATAATACATATGAAGGCTCTCTTTATTGGTCCCAGTCCAGCCCTTATCAAACCAGTAGCCCATACCAGGAGGTATTGATAGCGTATACTAGATGGATCTTGAATGGGACGAAGCTCGGCCGTTATTTTTAGTACCCCAAGATTGAGCGCATGATTTGCAAAGGATCGCCCTAGCGGGTCTAATTATAGTCTATTTGCCTCCGTCTTTGAATTTCTTATTTTTTTTTATATATATATTTTCTACTGGGAGAAGTGTATGTAATCATGTCAAAACAAAGCGGGGATTTTAGTACATACTTGTCAGCCCTAGAACTACTGTCGGCACATCGTCACATAGGCACCGCATGAAAATCCATTTTTGCTATACCTTATCTATGTAACCTATTAGCCAAATGCTTGTCTGAGCCTGCGCTATTAACATCTATTCGGTGCGATTCGCTGAATTCTGAAAGCAAAGATAGAACTACCATGTCCTTCGTCCGTAACGTCATATTTCCTCGCTTGTTTGGAGATCCGCTGACTCCTTGAAAACCACACGCAAGTTTCAAACCCAAAAGAAAGATAACTATAATCCAACTAGTCCCGTAACACCATGTCCACGCGCCTTACAATGACAATCACGTCACTTAAGCCCATTGAAGACAGCAGCAATCCGGCTACCCACAGAAATTCTTACTGCGGGCGCACAGGTGTATGGAGGGGCACGGTACCCGAAATCCTGACGGTTGCGGGCCACTTGTCATTGTGATCCCCCCAAAGCCCACTGCTTGCTGGAAAAATGGATCCCCTGTTCATGTCGACAGTAGAGTCCCCCACCCGAACCTCCATGTGAGGGACAACTAGCTCAACACCCTTCGTGCCATTAGCACTACCCGACAAGTTGGATTTGTGGCGGGGAGGCAACGGACGATGGGCCGGCTCATTCAGGTAGCTCTCAGAAGCATTGCTGCTGAAAGAAGACGCCGCAGTAGACGGGGAATGTGTCAGCGATGGAGGGGCACCCGTACTACCCAACAGCGTGAACAAACTGGCTGAGCTCCGGTGTTCGACCCTGGGACGGCGCATCGGGACGGGCGCAGAGCCGCTGTGAAATCGAGACAGATACTGCCAGGCTTCCGATGAAGCCAGCGAGGCTGAACCATTGATACCCATGGGTATTACCGGCTTCCATTCGGACGGGTCCTGATCTGTCGTGGAGTCGTGGAACTCACCCAGTATCCGGGTGGCCTGAGTCGATGTGATAGGAGCTTTGGTGGGAGTCATAGGTGGTACAATGGTTCGGGGAGACATAGGAGGAGAAGATGGAGGAGTGGAGGAAGATGACATGGTGTGATTCGATGTGAAGGAAGCTGAGAGTGGTTTATGGGAGTCCTTGCGACGGCAACTAAAGAAGAAGTATGAGTAGAGAGTTCATTTAAGTAAATCGGGGAGGAAGGTAGGTTGAGGGGGGCATGCTTCGGGATATAAACAGAAGACAAGGGGGCTGTGCCAGGGTAGAAGATGATAAAGTCATGATAAGGCGAGCAACATACCTTTCACTACAATAAAGGCGAGAATTGTCCGGTATGGTAATCTGTCTCTCGCACATGGCACTGCAGAAATGGGTTAGCTTCGATTCCAGATAAACCAAAGCTTCTGGAATGCAAGGGGAGAGCTGACGATAAGGCCAAGGAAAAAGAAATCATGAGTTCATCGATCGATTAAAGATTGACTAGACATACCAAAAATTGAGAAAACTGGCCGCCATCTCGAATTGACACTCGTTATCTGATTCACTATGCCTGGTGTGTCCTGCACCCAGCTTCGAGATGGAGTGATTCACAAAGGATGTGCCTTTCCGATGTAGTGCCGGCCGGGCTGTTCTCAGCTTCGGGGCATACGAACCGGAAGGAGAGCGTCGATGGTGAAAAGAAAAGTTGCCTTGAGTCATGGATGGCGGTGAGAGATTTGCGTATAAATATAATATGGACCACAGATATATCTGGTATAGTTCGACGATAGGTACCTTGCGCCAAAGGGACGCCGGGTCCAGCGGTGGAGCACTAAATCTCCCCTGAGGGCACCAAAGTATGAGGGATTTGCGGCTAGCAGGGGCGATTGAGTAACTCGTTGGAACAATTGTCTCAGACCGCCGTTGTATTGCTAAAGTATTATTTCCCCAATTATTCTTCTTTTTTAATTTCCCTTTCCTTTTTTCTCTCCAGGAAAATGATGTGCGATAGCGAGTCAATCAATCAGGAGGAATGCTGAGGGAGGACAAGATCTGAGCGATTAATATTGCGACCAGCCCAGTCAGCAATGAGGCAAATCTCCTCCAAAATATTTCGGTCCGTAGAATCAGCGATAAGCTTTCCTGGGACTTTTATCTGCAGTGGCGCATTAAATACCAGTCAGATAGATCATAACCCGAATAAACGGTAATACACGGGGCTTGATGGGTGTTATCATGGGTCGCTGAGTGGGGAGAGATAAGGAAAAGAATGAACGCGAATAGATAGTAGATAAGTCGTAACAGCGATAGGTAACATACCTCGGAATCTCTTTTCTTGGGGATTGTGGTTTCTTTTTTGTTTTGTTTCCGGTATCTCTGCAATGTTTTTATTCTTTCTTTCGATGGAGTGTTTTTGTCGAAAGGCACGTGCGAATGAATAATTTTTGGGAGTACTGATGATCTGTAGTACGACTATGCGGCATTAATCGAAATATGTCAAGCTGCAGCCGAGGAAAATCACTCGGGGGATTAACACCGACAGGCTGGTATGAGAAAGGGATGCCGAAGGAAGATATGGTAGACCACGAGTACAATAAGTATGGAGTGATGCGGATGTGTGTGTATATGGATCTGAGATAAAAATACGTCAACCCAAATATCTGGCGATGGCGGTTATGTACTCCGTTCAAATAGCCAGAAGAGACCAGAAAAAGAGAGACATGAATATAACTAAAAAAAGGAAAGAGGCGGAATTCTAGAATTTGGGGTTTCCTGTGAAGAAAAGCCAGAATTAGCGCTGAATCATTGGATCCATTGGAACGATCTGCCATTCTTTGAGACAGTGGAGTAGGCTCAGAACAAATTGGAAGGGGACCCCCGAGGGGCTGACGTGACCCGAGCACGTCACAGCGAAAAGTAAAGTCACGCCATTTGGGGAAAGGTCTAGACTGCCTTGCGTGCCTGAGGCATGGAGTCCAAACGCGCAATCATTCCATGAAAACGAACATAAATGTAACGACAACCACTGCTTACCTCACCACTGATGTTCCACCCTTAACTCATTGACACAAGACTGTAGTACTATGTATAGCAGGTAGGAGGAAGAGGAATACCCACTGCGTTTGATCTCCTATAAATAGGTGGAGTGTCTCTGAATTGAGTGGAGAAGAAGCCTGGTAAGTTGAACATATGAGGAAAGTGACACTCTACGTAGTAAAGTATGCCCATACAATTCTGTGGTCCTTTCTGCCTAGATTTATATGACACAGCGGATGATTCGATTCAAATGAAATCAGGAAAAGAATTAAATGGCCTGTGTGCAAGCTTGATAACCCCTCCCCTCCCATTTTTGCTACATCACAACTAAACCGTCACCGTCATTTTGTTCCCCATTCCAATAGGGATGTACTGATATTCTTCTTTTTTCTTTAACCGACCGAAGCACGCTTATCGGATCAAACAGGACATCAAGCTCCAATCATGTCACTTGCGTTCGGATGGCCTGGTGCTTGGCCTTGATGCGTATTTGACGCGGGGCTACCGCTCTGGACTTCGGGCATCCATGAATGAATCTATAGCGATAAAGGTCTGTCTCTTGACCCTCAGCTATGAACAACGCTCAGCCGGGCCCACTCCACCTGTTCTAGCCAAGTCAGACAGGCTGAGGCAAAAAAGGCATTGGCTTTACGTACATGCATTCCATGTGGACTGCATCCAGAACACTACAGTAAGCGGTGTCTGCAGTATCTGAGAACCCGTGCGCTAGGATCAACAGCCTTTCAGGTCCAATGATTGCACCATATGGCACATGGTTTCGCTCAGGTACTCACATATCGAACTATTCATCCCTGTTCAAACAAGGACGGGTGGGCTATGACGATTTCTTACCTCTTTGTCTTCTCTTGTACCTTTTCTCTTTTATTTTCCTTTCACTCTTTTCGTATGACGCTATTATCTAGGGGGAAAGAGAGGGAGAGGGAAAGAAAAAGGAAAAAACCATGTCTCCTGACTTGTGAGGCAATTTCCCCGTATCGCACACGGATCTTCGTCTTATTGGACATTTCAAACATATAGGCAACACTTTTATTGGATTTTTCCAATATCCAAACGGAATAGAAAGGACTGGCAGTATATTCCCACTTGTACCCACTATTCCGATAAATGGCGTTTCCCCCCCCCTCAACGGTTCTCAAAAACGGTAAATCGTAGCAATCGAAAAGTAACACAATAAAAGGCGGGGCAGCATAGCGGGGAATAAACGAAGTCGATGATGAACAAGAAACGTATACGAATACCTCATAGTACGGAGTACTCAAGACAGGAAACCCATTAGTTAGGTGCTAGACTCTGCATAATAATATGACATGTCCTGGATCCAGTTGTGGACTGGCGCGTCAACGAATCAACATTGTTCCGCTGTTGTGGATGATCCATCTTCGATATTCAATCACATCGATTTCGATCAATAGCGGAGACGAATTCCCACTCCCTGTCCCAGGGATCGTCTTCATTCCTGCCTTACGAAAATGAGTCCCAAACCAAGATTGACTTCTAGACTCTATTCCAGACCAGTGTTTCCAAAATAGCCCACTGTGGGCCGTCATTATTCATCACCCAAGTCCGTTCTTGTCCGCCATATTGTCTGGTGTGTAGTATGACATGGTTCTCGACTGTTCAGCTTGGTCTCCGGCAGCCTCACTTTGCGCTGCGCGACTTATTCATTCCAATCCAAACTAGTTCATACTGTAGGTAGCCGCATGGGGCAGGAGGCCACTACAATGAAATAAAACCGCCGATGCGGTGTTTCATGCAGTTGGAGGGTGGTTGCAGAAATGTTGCAGGTACCTGATTTGGCCATGCGCGCATTGAGTCATTCAGCAAAAGTAAACATTTGCTAAGAAAGGTATGTGAGAGGGAAAGAAAGAGAGAGAGGTGGAAAAAGCAAATACCATCTTCTCTAGGTTTGGTCCCCTGATGCAGAATGGAGGCGGGGAGCATCACGAGTGAGGGTTCACATGCCGTATTACTCGATTCGGACAATCATGGGATGGTCAACTGAAGCTCTTTCGTACTAACAACGGAGTCTGACACTTAACTACTAGTACTAGTTAACCCTTCTTGAATCCGTAGGTAGGCCGAACCATACTATACGTGTTTCCCAGGGTTCATTCTGCATCTGCATGCGGCCCTTCTGGCACTGTCATCATACCGTAGTTTAATATCGCAATAGCACGGAATTAATTCTGTTTTCCACATAATCTTAGAATAAACTCACACGAACTGAGCATAGCCTGAGTCAACCCTACTATAGTCATTCCGGAACAGATGCGGGATCGCAGGGGGGAAACTCCTCCGCTTTTCATTTATTCTTCTTCTTTTCCTTGACGAGCAAGGACCTTGTATGTAAACGAGGATAGCTTACTAGGCAGCCTTGGTCTGACACCTCATTTCTAGCTATCTCGCTCGTAGGGGGTAGTTCTGTATGACGGCAATCGATAAGCATAATGCGAATAAAGGAAACAATGGTTGATACAACCCTGTAATATACTTTAGCTGTATATAATTACAAGGCTCAGGGTTTAAATCGCGTTTAGAGGGAGGATCCCAAAGCCCTTAGACTGGTATACCACAGTTGACCCTTAGCTGGTTTGAGCATCTCGTTATCAATGAACGTGCATTAGTAGGTTTGACACAATCTCAGTACCAGGTTGCGAGATTTCGTCGAGACTAGGTGATCGTCATTACTGTCTGCAAATGCGAGCTCTGCCTTTATGTTTTCTTTCTTCGCCTCAACTTTATCTTCGAACAATTGCCATTCCCATTTATCGACATACGGGCGAAGGATATCGACTATTCTCCTTTGCTGTGTCAAGGATGTATGGCAAGATATAAATGAACACGGAAAATAGGACCATTTTAGGATTGACATTCTACCGAAAATCTCTCCCCCATCACTGTGAGCAGTCATGTTGATTCTTAACTTTGATTTTTGATGGTCAGAAGCGCATGGACTTAGGATGCGACGCCACGATCAAAGTTGAAGGCCACCGAACATTTGATCTGATATTTCGATATACCCCTGGCTTTAGCGTTAATGATTAATGCCAAATTCCTGCTTGGTGAAGTACGGGCCAAAAACATGCGTTTGTTTGTCATACCAAGTCACAACGACAATGTGTCCCTTCTTCTATCACCTTGTAAAATCTCAACTCACTCATTGTCAAAAGTGATATATGTGCCACAAATAAGGATGCATCGGGCCAGCTTACCAATATTAATATCAGGGTAATCCGCAAGTAGAGAGACACGGGATGTCATAACCGACTACCACAAGGCGAGAGTGGCCAAGACGCTAGCTCAGCGAGATCTAAACAAAGGACGGTTACTGTATGGGGGTAGAAGACCCTGTTACTGGCAAGGACAGGCTGGAGAGAATATAGTACTAGAGCCTAAGCGTTGGTTTCCTAGACCTATTGACAGTATGTAACACTCGGGATAAAAACAGACGGCACATAGACAAAAGTATATCAATTGAGGGAGAGTAGGTGCAAGAAGCCTAGTTTCACTCGAACAATAGAGAGGGAAATGAAGAAGGCTATGAGGTGCGGACTGATCATTCAATAACCCATCTCTATCAACTTTAGTATAAGCTTTGTTATAACCTCCGGCAAGATGGCGGAGTGATTAACGTTGCAAGGATACTTATGCAATCCCTTCTGGGGTCTGAGGCCGAATCTCAGTGTTTTTCGTTTTTTGATGCTTGGGTCACATTTTTTAACGCCTTGTTTGAAAAGAATAATAGCTTGGCCCTTAGACCTAGCTCAATGTAGACCGGGCAGGCTTGTTGAACAATATAAGGAACTGACCTGGTCGAGCAAAGCAGACCGTCACTATAACATACTAAACGACGTATGTACTTCGGCAAAGGTATTGTAGTAGAAATTCATTATTCTATCTAGGGTATCACAATATAGTACAAGTATCCAAGCAACACAGCCTCCTGGGTTCCTGTTGCTTATTTATGATTTATCAACTTCCATAGGATCGCCCGCTCCAGTTTCCGTTGCTGCTGTAGGTGCGGGTGCAGGTGCAGGTGTAGGTGTAGTAGCAGCTGCTGGAGTAGACGCGTTGGTGGTATCCTGGGAAGCTTTTGTTGTCTCACCTACTTTATCCTTGTTTTTATCAGCAGGCTCACCATCATCATTGTTGTCCTTCTTCTCACTCGCTTTTTCCGGCGGCGGAGCCTTCGGATCTAGAAAGCGCTCGGGAACTCCACGTGCAGCAACACCGGCGGGGCCCACGTAGCATCCGAGCATAGTGCTCCAGGCGTACTTCTGAGCGACAGTATTCCGGATTTCATTGTATGCGTATGCGTTCGCAAAAGGAAGAGCCGTTTCGGGGTCCCGATAGCGCGAGGGAAGGGATGTAATAACGCAGAGTGACGAAGAAATCTCTATTCAGGATGTTAGCAAACTTAGGAAATGAGAGGTAGAGAAAACGGGCCCGCTACATACTGGCAAGCCTTGGCGGCTTCTTCGCATTGAAATAGATGCTGAACTCGCGGCTCTGGGCAGTCTTGTCGTCAAAATTCTCCAGTACTGTGAGACATCTCCCGGCGTGTTCAATGACTGGCGGATGCTGTGGAATTTGAGGCTGTGGCGCCTCCTCGCCTGCAGCAGCTGGTTGATCCAGTTGTACCTCCGGAGCCACCTGTTCCTGTTGCATCGCCACAGAACTCTCTCCTTCTTGATTGGGTAGTACAGGCACAGCAGGGGCATCCGGGGCGGCAGCAATAGTAGCAGGAGGGGGAGGGGGCGGAACAACCTGAGGGGCTGTAACTGTGTCAGGCCCAGGTTGAGTCGTGGATTCGGCAGCTGTTTCCTTCGGTATAGCGATGTCGTTGCCTTCCGGGGGCGTCGGATCTTGATTTACCTCCTCCTGTGCCTCAATTTTCGGAGCGGGGACATCATCTGACATCTGCACATCTTCTGGACCTGGAACTGGGTCTTTTGGAGCTTCTTCGGGCTTCGACTCGACGCGGCTTTTTGACTCTTGTTCGCTTTCTGGTGCATTTTCTTTAGATTTGTCCTCAGGTGTCTTCTTTGGCAGTTCCGTTCCTTCCGTCTGTGGCTCTGCATCTGCAGCAGGTTCGGTGGCCTGTGTATCATCGGGCACGAGTTTAGGAGATCGAGCAGGTGAAGGTGTCAAGACTGTAGAGTCACCCGTGGCAGTAACAGTTGTACTCTCGAGTTTCGCATCACTCCCCTGCACGGGAAGAGGGTCCGTTTTCTCGGTTGGTGTAGGGTCTTGTGTTTCTTTTGACGTATTATCCCCACCAGATATGACTGGTCCTGCAGCACTTTCAGATATAGTTGGGGGTACGGGTTGTGTCGTGGCAGAGCTGGTAGTAGAGACATCTGCAGGCTTTTGCTCTGTCGTAGCCTTTCCCTCCTTGTCCGGCTTCTTGCTTTTCTTCCGCGTATTATCCTCCTTTTCAACCTTTGGTGTAATGTCGACCTTACCGAGGCGTGTCAAGCGACCATCAACCCAGGTAGCTACGCCACTCCAGTAAGACATAACAGGACCTTCAAGACGGCGGTTTTGAAGGGCCTCGATTTTAGCTTTTCGTTCTTCCGCTTTTCTCCTTTCCATCTCCTCCCATCGATTGAGGCTCTTGCTATTCTGTCTTTCAACCCTTTCAGCTTCGGCAAGGCGCTCTGCCTGTGTCATCTCTTTGGGCTTCAAATGCGCCTTTCTTTTCGCTGCCTCCTCCATAGTCGCTATGAGCCGAATGCGCTTCTCCTCACTATCTTTAAGTCGTGCATGCGTAAGCTCCTTGTTCTGCATGGTTTGGCGACGTGAGGATGATCGCGTGGGCCCCTCCTCAGGCGTAGGAATCCATGAAATACGCTCCGACTTCTTCTTCGGTCGAGGGGGGGCGGGTACTGCGGACACGGCGGTGGGATCTATTTTAACCTTCTTGCTTGTTATTTTAAATCGAAGATCTTGCTGGGCCCTTCGTTTTTTCTTTTCTGCCTTCTCCTCCTTCTGTATTTGCGTTTCCCCTTCGTAGTCATCAGACCGAGCATTGGGCCCTTGGTCCTCTTCGTCCGACGAGGAGTCTAGACCCATATCGTCTTCTTCGCCCCCTTCCTCTTCTGCATTGACAGAGAACTCGTTATCATCATCAACCTCCTCAAATAGAAGAGCAAGGTCATCATCGGCTTCGGCATTGAGAAGGGCAGACATGTGGCGTCCTGCTGTACTTCGTTTTGACCGTCCCTGAATAAGGGATACCACTGGCATCTCCTCTTCCGCGGAAGATTGGCCGACATTATCATCCGCCATTTTCTGTGTAACTTGGAAATCGAGTGGGGGGCGCGATAATGGCCTGTATCGAAGCTGATCACGGAAACACGTCCGGGCAAAACGAGATGACGGGATCCGGCGTGACGTTTACTTGCGCTTGATTCGGAGAATCCGCAGGGCTTGTTAATATAAAGGTCGGAGATTTGTTGGGTCTGCGGACTTATGGGAGGGCGGGCGCTGCAAACGCCAAAAGGAAAATGGGAAAAGGCGCGTGAAGTAACTAAAAGTGAAGGAGGGTGCGGTAGGGGACCGACGTACAGTGCGGCTAAAGATTGCTTCAGAGAAGCGGAAACCGCCTTGGTGGGATGCTTAAGGGTTCATGGGTCGGGAGAGAATATCTGGATCCTAGAATCTCGCTGATAAGCGTGTATCGGGGTTGAAAGAAGCTTCAGCGCGAAGGCACCTTTATGTTCAATTGTTTCTATACCTAGGTAGTCAACTTTGATAAAACTGACCAATGAGTTTGACAAATTTAGCCAACGAGGAGGCAAGATGGCGGAGTGGTTAACGCTGCACCTACTACTAGTAGTAGTTCCCTACGGGATATCCGTAGTTATGCAACCTCTTTCGAGGGCCAGAGTTCGAATCTCAGTATTGTTGTTCCTTTTTTGCCGCCCCTGAGCTCGCTCCCCTTTCATTTTGCTTTTATCCAATGTTCTTTAAGGGCACCGGTAGGAATTTCCATTCTACGTAAAAAACCATGATGTACTTCAATATATTTTGGTGTGGCCACTTCCTGCTTCAACTGTTCCTAATCCCTGCCCATGTCGAAAACAGCCGCCTATCCTAGCTCGCCCTCATTAGAATCCTATGGAGTAGTTATCTGAACCTTCCCAGGTGTGTTATTGGCTCGTATTTTTTTGGCTTCATACTGTGGTACGCACTCACTTGTGGGTTGGTGACAATGAGAGGAGAGGGGGAGGAACTTGTCACAAAGTATATGTGTGTGGGCATGTATCAGGGACGTGAAAGATCAACCATTAGTCTCCAAGGAACCCACTGAATACTAATCACTCCCCTTCTCACACTGTACCATGCCACAGGGGACCAATAGATGGGTCTTATCACCTGTACCTCCAGCACCCATACCACCTGCATCATGTCAGCAAGCAAGACTCCATGCCAAACAGGAGACGGTTCGGTGGAACGCGGGGTTTAGCATGTTTCAGGACTGTCAATCAGATGGGACTAATACAAACTAGCTCACACTTTACTCAGCCCTCCCAAGGTTGAAAATTAACATGGCTGTAAAACATGTCATGCGTTACAGTTTGCAAGGGCTCAGCCTATGAACCTTGCCATGGACTTCAATTATATGGTCAGAATATGTATGTCCACGATGGCATCATGGAAAACCCCAGCCATCAGGGGTATGAATGGATGTCCTCATTTAAGCTAATGAGGAATTTAGATTTTGTTCCCATAGTTAGCCCAGCGCCCAGTGAGGGTAAGTAATGTTTTGGAGCTCAGACACCACATGACCGGGCAAATGTTCATGTCTGAAACATTTCCGAAGCGTGGAGGTATTATGGCAGCCATTGATTTATAGAGTACTCTTGAAGTCACAGGTACTGTGTCCAAAGGCATAGATAGTTGCGCCTTAAAACGACACCCCAGAGATAAAGATGAGACAAAAAATTGTAAAGGAAAAGGGGAGACGGATAGAGAGATAGAGTATGACAGACCAACAACGAATGCGTTATTTAGTCGTCTCTTCCAAAAATTGGTTCGGCAAGATCTATGGATGGGACCAATGGAGCCGTTGGGGACGTTGACTCGTTCGCCTGCCTAACGAAGAGAAATACAAAATGGATACCTGACGAGAGTAGTATCGATATATCCCATTTGGGAGCAAGAGTCTCAGAAGCTGTAATCCGGTGCTCAAAGATAAAGAAACTATTATAAGCAAAGTACGAATGACATTCTAGTCAAGTCTAGTAGCAGTCATGCTGGTTCCCATCGAATACTCTCTTCCTAGCGGTAAACCGGTGACCAACCATAGTAACAGTAATATGACATTTCCTTGCCCCGGGATCCGGCAAAAGAACCAACCGCCTTCCCTTTCGCACTGTCGAAGTCTCTTTCCCACTCTTTTCCCCTTCCCATCAGCTCTTCGAGACCGTACCTTACGCTTACCACGACTTTGCCTGCGTCTTTATTTTCCATCCTCACCATTTTTCTTATGATCTTGTTTTCTTTCCTTCCCCCCCAAAAAATAATTCTTCTTCGTTTCCTCTCCTATTTCAATTAGAATATTATTCACTTTTATTCTATTTGTTTTGATTCGGTCCTTTTCTTTACTGTCACTATATCTTTCTTGACGCATTCTGACCGGAAGCCGCGCAGTTTATTTTCCAGCCACCCGTTCAACTCAACTTGGCCCTTTCGATCCGCACATTTGCGAACCGTTGCTTTCTTCCACCTCTGCCCTCTCCCGATCATTTATTCTAGTCGTCTTGCTCGTGTCCCTTGCGGCCTTTTCGGGTGGGCCTTGGTCGCCTAGCGATAATTATTATCACGGAGATCTTATTACTTGGTGGATCGTGGCAGATTGATCTGAATACTAGCCAAGATTATCATCATCTATCGGTGGTCGGCGTCGATGCATAACGGACAGATTTCTGCGCAGATTGATATTGTCTCTTTCCGCTTTCTGGTTGTTAATTGCATCTGTTCTAGCTTACGTATTATTTTGACCAAGTCCTCCGGTTGACCCCGCTACGAACACCTTTCACACACCGACCCAACACACTGAACGCTGGTAACTGGAGTGCGCTCGGATCAAGCAGTGAGTTCATGAACATCTCCGGGGGTGTCAATTGGTGCTTATTTTCCACAAGGTATCTTCTAGCTGCCGAAAAATTGTACGATCAACACATGGTTCTTTTCGGGAACATCTCCGAGTGAACCGGATTTCATCCTTCAACATCATCTATCGCTTCATAAGAAAATTATAATCTGGGAATTCTGGTGCCTGCCTTTTCCAAGGCGGAGGGACATAATCTATAATGCTGCCTGTTTCAAGACCTGAGGGTCATATGAACCTCAATTATATTCCCACCACTCAACCGATGTCCGGGACATCTACGGGGCGCAGCTCCCCAAGCGATTTGTCCACTGCCGCCGCCGTCAAGTCGCCGTTTGGACCAAGCGGTTTAAATGGCGCTGCAGGGTCAATCGGAAATGCGAGGCTAGGGGCTGGATCCCCCTCTCATGACCTTGGAGCTCGCCTATACTCGAAAAGGTTGGTAGCATACCCATCCTGATATCGCCTCCCCGTAATTATACCATTAACTCACTCCTTCCGCTTTGCTAGAGCTCGAGAAATCCAGGCGGAGGAAGGCGTCTCTCCAAGTATTTGGGGCCCCCCTACCAGTGGCCATTCTACCCCGCTTCGCGAAAACATCCCCGAGTCCCCGAGCCAAGAGGGTTTCCCTGACCTAGTGCCCACTTCGAGCGGTTCGATCAATAGCCCTGCACGAAGAGCTAGAGCTGGGACGGTTCCCTCGAGATTTTCACCGGTTGGTGCGCTGAACGAGGCAAGCCTTCAACAATCTTTTATGTCTCAAACTTCTCGTCCCACGCCGTCGACCAGTCCTTTTCGCCCCTCTGGAGTTTCAGGAATCGACACAGGCGCGACTGCTGCCCATGCTGCTCCTGCTGCTCCTGCTAGGGGCACAGGCTCTCTGTCGCGTCTCCGAGCTGGTTCGATGCCACAGAGGGCAAACTTCCTTGGCTCATCTAGCCCGTTTGGACCATCCTTGTTCTCTACTAGTTGGGCTACGGGGCGCGACCGGGCGACCACCCTCACGAGCATTCGGTCCTCTGAAGGGCCTACTTCTCCTAGCCATTCGTCCTTTTCAAGAGATGGACTCACGGACACCGATGTTAAGACGCTGGATTACCTGGGTCTTGCTGAGACCCCGCAACAAGCACGAGCCAGCCTTGTGCGACCCTCTGTGGACATGCTCCTCCAACAGCAGCAACAACAGCAACATCAGCAGCAGCAAGCGTCTACCCTGCCACCGTTGCTGGCGGAATTAGCTATGATGAAAAACAACAATAGGTTTCGGTCATACTCTGTGAACGCTAAGGAAAAGTATGCGGATGATGAAGACCTTGAGTACGAGAGCCGTTACTCGCAGATTCCTTCGGGTACTGTTACACCCTCAGCCGCAGCAACCGCTGCCCAGCTGGCTGCTACCCAGGCTCAGATCCATCAACACAATTTGGCTGTCCAAGCATTTGCTAACCATGCTTCCGTTAACCGGCCGCGGGCCAGGACTGCCGGTATTTTAGAGGCCCCTCCTCAGCGGTCCTCGATTCGTAACTATTTAGCCACTCCTTCGCGCCTTGAGAACAGTTTTAGCGCCGCTGACTTGAATATTGCGGAGAGTGGAGAATATGATGAATTGTCAGAGGCTGTGCAGATGATGCATCTGGGCGGAAGTGGTGCTCCTAATCTGGGCATGCGACAAGGTGATGTGGTTGATGAGAATAATCAGGATGGTCCGACACGTGCCTTGTGGATTGGTAGCATTCCAGTTTCCACCACAATCACTTCTTTGGCAGCCATCTTTAGCAGATACGGCAAAATCGAATCCACCCGTGTACTGACGCACAAGAACTGTGGATTCGTCAATTTCGAGCGCGTAGAAAGCGCCGTCCAGGCCAAATCGATACTCAATGGCACGGAAATCTTTCCTGGCGCAGGCCCGGTCCGGATTGGATATGCCAAGGTCCCTGGAACCTCTGCATCCGGGACTCCTGGGGTTAACGGCATCCAGTCCTCCCCCACCCCTGATCCCAACGCCAAGTCAAGCTCTGCTGATGGCTTGGAAAGCTCTGATTCAGGGGCTGCTGTACCGCAGATACCTCCCCTTCCTGAACTCCAGCCAGAGATGGTGCAGATCGTCAAGGAATTTGGTGCTAGTGACGAAGACACACTCAATATAACTGCCAGCATCCAGCAGGCCATTGCTTACCAGGCATTTGAAGACGAGATCCCTCCAATCCCTGAGCCTAGCCAGGCCAGGATGTTTGATGCCCCACGTCTTCGCGATATTCGCAAGAGAATTGATAACGGCGCATGCTCGGTCCAGGAAATCGAAGAGACTGCGATCTCGATGCTACCGGAGATTGCAGAGCTTGCCTCTGACTATTTGGGCAACACCGTAGTGCAAAAGCTTTTTGAGTTCTGCTCTGAACCGATCAAAGAGCAAATGCTTGTTCAAATTGCACCACACCTTGCTGAGATTGGCGTTCACAAGAATGGTACCTGGGCTGCGCAGAAAATCATTGACGTCGCTCAGAGTCCAAATCAGAAGAGCATGATTGTAGAGGCGCTCCGCCCGTACACTGTCCCGCTTTTCCTTGATCAATACGGAACTACGTTTTACAATGTTGTCTTCGCTTTGGCTCTTCGTTTAATGACTTCATTTTCGAGAGTATGCTGAGTCGTATGTGGGAGGTCGCTCAAGGACGGTTCGGAGCTCGCGCGATGAGAGCTTGCCTTGAAAGTCACCACGCCACCAAGGATCAGCAGCGCATGCTTGCCGCCGCGATCTCCCTTCACAGCGTGCAGCTCGCGACAAATGCAAACGGTGCGCTGTTGCTCACATGGTTCCTCGACACCTGCACTTTCCCTCGCCGGCGAACTGTGCTTGCTCCAAGACTTGTGCCGCACTTGGTGCATCTCTGCACCCATAAGGTTGCCTATTTAACGGTTCTTAAAGTTATTAACCAACGCAACGAGCCTGATGCCCGTGAAATAGTATTGAAGGCGCTTTTCTTCAGCCCTGGTGATGAGGTCTTGGAGAAGATTCTGAGCGATCAAACATCGGGGGCGACCTTGATCTTCAAGGTTCTGACAACGCCATTTTTCGATGAATCCATGCGTGCAGAGGTTGTGAAGAACGTGTCGAAGGTTCTCACCAAGCTGAAAGCTACACCAAGTCAAGGATATAAGCGACTGATGGATGAGGTTGGCCTTTCATCCCGTGGTGGTGGCCGGGATAATCATGGAAGGGATAACTCAGAGAAACAACAGCAGCGTCCCGCCTCTCGCCCTGCACCTTCGAATTATCCTTCTCAGTCATCCGTGGACAGGCAGTACAATGGACAGTTCGTTCCCGCTATGCTTTCACAAAACTTGGATAATGCCCGGGTCGATCAGCAGTCGAACGTTGCATCTTTTGACCCCTATGCCATCAATGGGGTGAATGGTCTGGGCTCTGCAGGTACTATCACTTCTTTGAATGGTGCCTCGGGAATAAATGGCTCTAGCTTTGGTCAAGATCCTTTGTTGCCACTTCAACAGGCGCAGTACCAGGCTTATTTGGCTGCGCAATCTCGCGGTGTCTCATCTAGTGGAATTTATCCGAACCTGGGTAACGCTAATTTTGGATATCCGGGCGGATCTCCTTCGGTGGACAACCTTCGGGGCATGCAGGCTCAGGGTGCCCCCTTGTCTGGAGCTACACAGATGAGCCCGCCAGGCTCTATGCTTAACCAGCCTGGCTTTGGTCCCCAGCAGTTTAGCCCTGTTATGAACACGGCTCAGATGTATCAGTATCCTCCTCAATTTAATTACCAGCAGCCTGCCCAAGGACAGTCCGCTGGGGGACGACGTGGACGTGTAAGTGGTTCCAAGTCTATATGTGAGCAATGACTGCCCCGTACAGAAGCTAACATCGTCTGTTATTAGCGCTGAGGTTCGCATATGACCTTTTAATCCAATTTTGTTTCAACTTTATGTATAAAGTTAACATTTTTTTCATTCCATCTTTCGCTACTTTCCGGATACAGAGTAGTATGGTTATATGTATGAAATGACCCTTATCTCACCTAGACTGACGCTGGATCGTCTTGGAAGAGGGGGAAAGGAGAGACGACAGAGGGAAAAGTGCTATTGATTTTTATTTTATTTCATTTTCATTTTTATCTCATCTTTAAAGAGCATGGTGGTGTCACAATTGTCAATATAGCATCAAGTGGTGCGAACCACCGAGTTTCAAGCCGTGTTTCTTCGACCATGGTTGTGTTGGATACAGGGAGAATTTTCGTTGTTCTTGTTGTTTTTGCTCTTGTTTTTCTATCACTCAAAGTCCTGTATTTCTTGTGGTCTCAATCTTGTGGTGGGTTTAGACTGCTGGTGATGTGACGAATTTCCTTGATAGTCTCGATACGAAGCTTTTGTGAATTGTTTGACCAGCGGTGCCTGTATCTCGTTAGGAATTCACATTTTCTGAAATAGACAACATATTCATATTTTATCTGTCGTGGCTGTAGTCTTATACGCGTTTAGCCATTTTTCTTTTCTGTGCCTAAGCCTGAGGAGAAAATATATATATGGGTTAGGAAACTATTCGGTCAGACATTGCCCTTAGATGATCCGTGTAAGTTCCCATCACAATCTCTACTTCTCTTCCGATGTTCCGCAAGAACAGTGGCAGTTGCCAAGCCACAAAACAATCAGCAATCAGTTATGACTCGATCTTCAATTCTCTATCAAAACTCTCAGAATACAGTCTTTCTTCTTGACATTCCCACATCCATTGCTCTGGCACAGGATTTTCCACCAATCCAACAAGAACCACCATCAGAATCTTCAGAGCTCATCTCAAAAAGACACGTCTGTGCAAGGCATCTCTTATCTTCAACGCCCCTGAGAGATCCCTACCCTGGATCTACAGAGCCCAAAACGGATACCGCAAGGGCAAAAGTCCTACAAAGGATTCCTGTTTCAGAGCGAGAAAATCATGATACCATTTCACCTCTAGTGAGAGAGGCGCTGCATGAAATTCGGGAGGGTCTCAGGGGTGATGAGTGGTGCCTTGAAAGAAGGACCTTAGCGCATGACTTTGGACGGGATTGTACTGCTCGTAGTCCCGAAGAAAAAGTGTCCCTAGGGAAAAGAAGTCGAAACAATAAAGAGTCCAGTAGCAATGATGACTGCCGATTCCCAGTCGAGGACTACACGGGTTCAACCGTTCCTGGAAAGTCAACCAAGCTACAGGGCGTGCCTCAAAGCCTAGTGCTGGACAATCCGCCTTTAGTCCTCTCACCTGGATTGAATTTGCTCGATTCCATGTCTGGCCTGTGCAATCTTGTCGTCAAAAATACGTCCCCTGACCATGCAACGGTGAGAGCTGGTTGCATATTGGAAAGACACAACGACTCGACTGAGACCAGGTGCGCGGAGCACCATTATCATACGTTCTATATACCACCCCTATCGAGTTTCTTACTTTGCAAACTGCCTATATCACAGCCGGCCACAAAGCCCAGCAGCTACATAGGCCCTATACCAGGTCTCCCTCGAGACCAGAGATTTGATCTAATCCTCCTGGATCCGCCATGGGTGAATAGATCTGTGCGACGCAGCGGACATTACCATACACAGCACTACCTCGAGGGGGATCTACTGACCCAGCGTATTCGAGATATACTCAAGGTGCACTTACAAGACAGTCATCATATCTTCCGTTATGACACTTCTAATGATCGTACATCGATGCCAAAGCCGACCGAGCAGCAAACCCGGAGCTGTATCGCAGCCATATGGATTACCAACTCAGCAAAAGCGCGGAAAATAGCCTTTGATGCTATCCAAGGCGCAGGTCTTTCCGTTTGCGAGGAATGGATCTGGATCAAGACCACTACAAAAGGGGATCCTATCACGCCGCTAGATGGCCTCTGGCGGAAACCTTATGAAGTTCTGATCATAGGAATGAGGAGACACCTCCAACAACAAGCTAATTCGCCGGGGAAAAGAGGGGATGGCGTCATCACTAGGAGGTTCATTGCCGGTGTTCCAGACGTGCATTCCAGGAAGCCGAATCTAAAGGAGGTTTTTGAGAAGGTGTTCTTTGCCGATGCTTCTCCTTCTATATCGGAAGATCGTACGGCTTATTCCGCTTTGGAGGTATTTGCACGCAATTTGACTGTCGGTTGGTGGGCCTGTGGAGATGAAGCTCTGAAGTTCAACTCGAAGGAATGGTGGGTTCACGGAAATGGTATGAGCTTGAGTTGATCTGTATTGGTTTATAACGTATATTTAGATACCCAAGTTCATTCCTTGATATCTCTTTTATACATAAGATGATATAGAGCCGTAAGTGACTCCTATCATTACATACGTTGATACTACATCCACCGTAGATACCTGGCCAATATCTTCACATGAGCCACTAGAGCCTGAGCAAACCCAGCATATGCAAACTCCCAAACACCTATTCGAATATGTATACACAAACTAAAAGATAAAGCAACATGCCCCTTAATCAAAAACTGGCCCCAAGCTGACCAAGCTGAACCTCAAGTCCGGGTTACCACCCTGAGCCTCAGTCTTCAAGAACCTCCTAACTCCCAAGTTAAGCGCTTTCTCGCTCAATGCATCCTCATTCGTATCCAACTTTCCCCTTTCCAACGGGCCCTTCCTCCTCCCATCCAGCTCCCACAACCTTCCATCAATTCCTTTCACAAAGGCCACAAAGTGCAAGTCAACGGAATCCTCGGCCTGGGGCGCCGTAGTATCACCCAACTTCGCCGCATCAGCATGCGCACTCTCCAGCGCCTTGCTCTCATATAAGAGATTCGCTCTGTCAACAGGACCAAGAGGCTCCGCCTCCCGCAAAAGACCATCAAGATCCGATCCAGGAAGAACCTGTTTCCGAGCCTCTCCATTGGACACAGCATGCAGCAATCCGATCAACCCGCAAGCGTTCCGGATCGTCTGTTTGAACCACATGACCGGTTCTGAGGGTCCGGAGCCAGTGTAGTCGGTGAGTTGGCTATCTTCGGACACGCGGGATGACTCGTAGGTTTTAGAGACGGGGAAGACGAGGAGGAGGGCGTGCGAAGGACGGGGGACGAAGGCTAGGAGGTCTGGGTCGTCGATTGAGTATACGTCTGTAAATCCTAGGGTCGGTGGGAGACCGAGTTGGTGGACTAAGTGCGACATCACTTCTGGGTTGTTTTCTGCGTCCATTGGGTCAGTTGGTGTCCTCTTCCCTTCTCCGCTGGATTGGAGTATTGTATACCGAGGGGCACGAAGGCCTTGTTAGTTTCTGGGACATCGACATGGTCTGCCATCTTGCTTATCGGTTCTTTTTTTCGGATGTATTGACACGGGGTTTAGGGGTGAAATGGTAGGTTCTGAGGCCAAAGTGGAGTAGGTTGGTGAAATGATGTTAGTGAGGGGTTAGAATTGGTCTGCGGGGTCACTCAGCTAAATCTACTAATCGGGGTTTCCGCCTTCCATGTAGTGACATGTGATGGCTTTACCAATATATAGGCCTTATGGGCCAGGCAATCAAATTTTGTTATTTTGGGTTACTCTGTAAGAAATTCATGCAGATAATTTCGTGGTAATAGGTCTTTGTCATAAGTTCATCTCGTTCATAACCATGTCTATGGTCTACTTGTCTATAGCTAAACGCTGTCCTAGTTCTGCAAGGGCTTCACCCCCCGTTTCAACGGTTCGTAGATATTGGTCCACAACTCACTGGCCTCTCCAAGGAAATAAGACAAGCTGACATCGGCCATACTAGCTTCCTCGTCGCCAGAGATAGTCTCCAATTGGGAAATAAGGTTCTCCAGCCCAAAAGCTTTGCCCGTCGCCTGTGTAGCGCCAGCTTCCAGCATGACATTAACAATGTGAACGTGGAAGTGATAATATGTCGGTTGATCTGATGACCGTCAATTCTTGTTCCCTCAAGATGCCTACATGATGCCACTTACAGTGCACGTAAAGCTTGAGCTGATCCTGGTCCAAATCCGGATACATATTCGCCGTACCCTCTAGCAACCGCTGACGCAGATACTTCAACCAAGGGATATGTTTCTTTTTCAAATCACGTAAGCTCCAGATATCCCTCCGCTGCACGAGAGCCAGCAAATGCAACGAGCCCATCGTTTTCCGATCCCAGTTAAGATCCGGAAGCATCAGGAACCCATCCTCGGGACCGTGGCCCTGATCCCGAAGAATAACATCTTCCTGTTCCGTTCGGCCCTCAAGAATGTTAAATACCCAGTTCAATCGGCCCTCTTCCCGCTTAGCACTCATATACGGCCGGATATAGTCGCGGTAAATTTCAGGTGTTTCGGTTACCATGCGTAGCACCTGATCGGAGTACTTCTTGATATGCTGCTCGGTGCATGGCCAGATAAGGTTCAGTTTGAGGTCAGCAGATTGATGGCCCTCACTGTCTACACCTGATGATGCCAGGTACCAGCGGTAGATATCATTATCACCCAGGTTGTTTACACGGGTGATTGCTGAGTGGAATGCTTTCAATACCTCGAGGGATTCGGTGGCAAAGGCCGCTCGTTCAGCTATAAGAATGCCTTGCTTCCCTTCGATTGTTCCCAGGAGAGCGATACGACGGCCACTTTGATCTATGTACAACTTTCTTAGTTACCAAGGTCTTGACAACAGCGGTTTGGGCGAAGAGCCTGTTATAATAGTTCAAGGGGTTCCAACCTTGTCTGAGCAGCCTTTCGATCTCAAATTTTGAGATCAGTGCCTCAGGCGCCACTTTAGTGTCGTTGCTGGCTTGCATTCTTGTGTGGGGTATTAAAAAGTTGAAGGTTGACCTCGACTAAATTTACCCCGTATCTTTAATATGTGCCGGCAGAATCGTTGGGCGGTCAATAGTTATCAGTGTTATCGATACTGTTGTTGACTTCTCTATGTAACTCTTCAAGCAGAAGGGCGCTAGTCAGGATTGAACTGGGTAATCCAAGCTTTGATCTTGAAAAGCATGGTTTATAATTTGTCTACATGAAAAAAGCAGTACAATCGCTTTGGGCAATGCATGTAGCTCCCAGGCAGCACGTCATAATAAAATGAAGCCGCACACTCTGGAGAAAGCAAAGCAAGGAACCCAGCCGCCAGTATGTGTTTATATGCGTAGAAATTGGATGGAGGCATATACTTCTAGTCAAAATGAAGTCGTTATGAACCTCATAAGCAATATCGCGGGTATTTCACCACTGATAGATGCATCGAGCACCATTCACCATAGTTCACTGTGATGAATTGAGTATGTCAATGCACAGCAGCTCGCCAACGTCTCAAAGTGCGGCCGCATCTTGTCAGGCGCGCTGCAATTTCCCTAGGGGAGTGTATCCTGTGAACACATAGATCGTGCTCAACAGGAAACGCTTATGTACCAAGATGGTTTCGTCGCGTAGTATGTCCACAGATAATCTAGGCGCCGAGTTCATGAGGATTTCTTTTCGTCACCAGACTGGCAATGCATCTACTCAAGATTAGTCCTCGAACACGCACACACAAACATACACACAAAACTGAAACAGAGAGAGAGGAGAAGAAGAAGATATTAACTCACCGCTTCAGCTAATTTCAGCCACTCTTCAACTCCCTTGACGAAGGAGTCATCCGCCGCAGGTGTCAGTTCATGACCCCATACCACATATTCATCGAAAGTAGCTTGCTTCTCCAGGATCTTGACTGGTTCTTCCTGTTCTGTTTCCTCGCTGATCGTAGAGTTTGCGTTGCTTTGGGTCGATGGCATCACACGCTCTGTTGGCAGCGCAACAACCCCTGAGTTGGATTGTTAAAGCCTGCAGGATTTACAACAGTCAGAAGTGATTGTTTACCTTGATAGCCCTCTGGAATCTGAACACGTCGGCCTCGCAGTTTACGGCCGCGGAAGTAGGCAGTTTGTACATTCGAATCTGCGCCAATGAGTATTTTGGGACCCGAATGCTATTGGGAGTGCTGACCTTTTCCATCAGATTCGGGCTTCCAGTAGCGGCCCAGGGATCCAACGGGACCATCATGATGAATTCGACAAGGAAGGATATTGGGAGTAACGTTCTCTGTTCTATTCGCGTCTTCTGATCCTGAGGACTGTTGCTGGGGTTGGATAGCGAACATGTTGGGTTTAATTGTAAATTTCAATTGACTAGTGCAAAAAAGAAGTAATTGAGCCGAATATAAGGAAGTTAGCTAGTATCTTGTAAAGCCACGATGTTGTTCTATGAGCTGGGTGATGGATAAGAATAAATTAGAGCACGCGTCGCGTTCTCCGCGTAAAGTGATTTAAATGCCGTTTAGAGCGGAAATTTCCGACCCCAGAGCATCGACGGATCAGTAATATGAGCATTGCGTTCTTTCAGATCTCAATTTCAGAATACATCGATAAAGGTCAAAGTCCAAAATGCCTGTAATATAATGATTTCAATTCTATATGCTTGCTCGAGATACAGTATGCAACCCGGAAAACTATAATCACGATAGTCGGACTGGATGATTTCAAACGCCATGAAATTTGGGTATAATAGACAAGCTTGGATATAACTTAATCACCTCTTGCGCGTCTTCTTCTTCTTCTTCTTCTTTTTCTTCTGGTCGTCTCCATTCTCCTTCTCAACCACCACTCGTACCGGCCATTTCTTCAGGTGTTCCTTCTCGAATTCATCTTTATCTCGCCGGTATAGAAGCATTGTAGCTTTTGCATCCTCCACACTAGAATGAGCGCCGCTCTGAATATCCAGACCTAAAAATTCTGAAGCCAACATTTTCAAACGGGGAGAACCGCCCCCGGCAATCTTCCGATATGGTGGGTGTTTGCTAGTGTCTCTAATGTCGCGCTTGGGATGGCTTAGAAGAAGTGCATCCAGGTCATTCCGCAAGGCATGCCCAACGAGTATTCGCCCATCCATAAGCTCGGCAACATCTTTTTGAACTTGTTCAAGGGACCGGGCTTCTACCATATGCTTTGGGAGTATGCCGCTCACATGCGTTCGCCAATCCGTGACCATTTCTTTCGGACGTACAAAGGAGTCATACACTTGTTCACCGTTGAAGTTGACGATACTGACACGCGCAAGGGCCGAGTCGTTATCGGGGTTAGGGCCGACTCCCACCATCTCACAGTCCATCGCAACATATTTACCTAGTTCAGCACTAGCACAGGATTAGCAAAGACTTGAAACATGAGATGTGGCAGGAAGACAGCAGAGATACTGACGTCGGTGACCGGCCCTCATTGACCTTTGCAATCTTCACTTCAGGTCGCGGCGCAATCGAGGCGGTAGAATTCTTCCGGGAGATGGATTTCACAGCGGTTTCCTGGACGACATCCTTGCCTCCATCAGCAGCGCTGTCGGCCATTCTCTTCCTCTTTTTCGATACACGAGATTGTTCAAGTTTGGTTTTCCCTTCGACTGTCTCCGTTTTTCGCTTCTTTAACACACCATTTTGGCCTTCCCGATCAGATGTCTTGCGTTTTGTAGAGCTGGACGTGGGATTCTGTTTCAGCGTCTCCTGGAGTTTCTTCCAATTGCTGGAAAGGTTTTTAACGTCCATTCCAATGGTCAGGTGGATCTTATTGCATTGTGTTCTGATTCTGGATATGCGATGTGAAGAGACAAGAAAGATATTTGATGCGCAGGAGCAGCTTTCTAGAATCGACGATAAATCCGATAAATTGCGCTAAAGTTAAAATTTCAGACGGCCCACTCGGGAGTCTCGAACACTTCCATTCCTCTGTGCTTTTACCTAGCTGGCCACAGCTTCCGTACATGTACTGAGCTTATACGGAGTAGGCCTTTATTTACTGCCTTGTGACAGGGATTATAGAGATGGATCATTTCAATAACTATAGAAAAACTTCAGTTTATACAATATAAGGAGCTTTACTGTCCGATGCGGGGTATTGGAAAGCATAAGAACTTTTTATATCCAACAACGCCTCATTATACAATAGAAGTCTATGTGAAAAGAAATCACCATGACAACAAAAAGGGAATCTATTTACAGGCCTGGAACCTTGAAATCCTTGTAACCCCATTTCTCCGTCAACTTTCTCTTTGCCTTCTTGGGTTGTGAAACCGGCTTTCGAGATTCCAACTTTCCTTGAACGATTACGTCCGGAATCGGTCATCGAGCAGATTTCCCTCTGGCTTAAGCAAGCGCAGTGAGTCCTGCAGCTCGTCTGGTAGGACAACCTCCAACTTTTGGTCGGGTGCACTGGTTTGAGGTCAGTAAATAAATAAGATACAAGTAGGACTGGGGAAACATACTATGTCCTTCCACCCAAGGGCTTTCGCCGCAAAACAGTATCATCACCTTCTCCCTCAGAGTCGGACGACTCGGCGCGCTCAAGCGCCTGCTGTTCCAATTTCTCCGCAAGAGATTTTGCCAGCTCAACCTGGTCTTCCTTTTTCTTCATCTGTGCCTCCCATTTTGCTTGCCTCTCAGCCTCCTTACGTCGGTTGATCTTGTTTCTTTGCGCTTTCGTCTTTCTCTCTGGACGCTTCTTCTTCAGCCAATCCGGGGTCTCGTACTCGCTTTCAAAACCTTCCCAGGCACTTTCATCGTCCGACTTAACCTCGCCGTCGTCATCCTTGGCCTCGGCAATCAGACGCTGTCTTTCTTCTTCCTTACGTTCCTCCTCCAGGCGTTTTTTCTCTGCCTCTACCTCCTTGGCTCCTTGTTCCTGTAGAAGACTATCCCAGTCCTCAAAGGTGGGATTATAACTTGTGCCAGCGTTCGGTGTGCGGACAGCAGGAATCGCTTTTCCATTTGCAGCAAGTGAAATCGGGGATTCCTTTAGCGTTACAGGCGCAACCTTCGGCTTCGGCTTCTCCAGGAAATCAAATTGTGGATCCTCCACAGGTGTTGGGTCTTCAGCATCCGCCCATGGATCATAGAATTCACCTTCCGCGACCTTTTTGGTGGGCTTGCCCTCTTTAGCGACCTGTTTTAAGCGTAGCCAATCCTTGCGGGTAACCCAGTCGCTCTTGTGTTTCTTAGTCTTCGGTTCGAGAACACCATCTGTCACTTTGGAGTTGTTGCGTTTGCGAGTGTCTACTGCTGGGATGACCGACCGCTGAGCAATGATTTCTTCTGATTTCAACGGCTTGTGCTGTTTCTCGAATGCTTTGCGAATTTCTGTTGAACCCGTGGTATCGAAGGTGAACAGCTCTTCAGACGGCTTCTCTGCCAGGACACCACTGTAATATGGAATCAGCTTTTAGGAACATTGAGGGAAAGAGATTAGGGTCATATTTACCCTTTAATCTCCTCATCTTTCAACAACCGGAGACCTTCTTGAACCTCCGTCACATCCACATTCTTACGCCACGCCTTTTTGCCCTTACGGGAAGGTTGGCTAAATTGTTTGGGAGCATCTGTGGAAGGAGACATGTTGTAAACCTTACCAGCTGGATTGCAATATTGAACTGTAAGGTGGGAGTCTTTTTCTTTCCCTTTTTTCTTTAGCGCTAGTAGATAATCGGAATTATTTGCGACCAAAAATCTGGACCCGCTTACCTAATACCGTATCGCGGGGCGATTAAATTACATGCTAGTGCGTCTGCCGCGCTAAAGCTCTTCGCGGCTATCGCGGGCAAGTTGAACGCTATTCAAGACTGACTTCTCAGCGACGTGCTTTTCGCCCACGTCGGTTTATCATCGGCACTGATTACTCTAGCCACTAGCCCTGGGGGCTCAGTTCAAGCCATTATTTCTAATCTCGCATACCGATACTTCTATTGGGCCTGATTGGTCTGAAGACGGCTGCTGAATTTCAACAGCCATGCCGGTGGTCAAAGGAGGTGTCTGGTAAGAGCTCTTGCGACTTGCGATATGCTTAGTGATCAAAGTCTCACATTTATTTAGGACAAATATCGAAGATGAGGTGCTTCGAGCGGCGGTAAGTTAATATGCGCGCGAGACGAATACAAGAAAGAATGCCGTGTTGCGATCGGACGGTCACTAATAATTGTCATACTACAGGTGTCCAAGTATGGTCTCAACCAGTGGGCGCGAGTATCCTCGCTGCTAGCTAGAAAAACCCCCAAGCAATGCAAGGCTCGATGGGTGGAGTGGCTGGATCCCGGCATCCGGAAGGTCGAGTGGTCGAGGGAGGAGGATGAGAAGCTACTACATTTGGCCAAGTTGATGCCCACTCAGTGGCGTACTATTGCACCGATTGTTGGACGCACAGCTACTCAATGCCTCGAGCGCTACCAGAAATTGTTGGACGAGGCGGAAGCACGTGAAAACGATGAGCTTGGTCTAGGCGGTCCTGAGGGTGGGGAGACCGCTGCACCAAGTGCAGACGATGTGAGACGGTTACGGTATGCTAATATATACTTATGTTATGGGTTTCTTTTCGCTAACTTTAACTAGCCCCGGCGAATTAGATCCCGACCCCGAATCGAAGCCCGCTCGCCCAGATACAATTGACCTTGACGAAGATGAGAAGGAGATGCTGAGTGAAGCTAGAGCTCGTCTGGCGAACACACAAGGAAAGAAAGCAAAGAGAAAGGCTAGAGAACGACAACTGGAAGAATCTCGGAGACTTGCTGTGCTTCAGAAGCGTCGTGAACTTAAGAATGCTGGTATCAACATCAAGGTTGTCACCCGGAAGAAGGGTGAGATGGATTACAATGCCGATATCCCATTCGAAAAGCCGGCAGCCCCCGGTTTCTACGATACAATGGAGGAAGAAGCCAGGAATGAGAGGCAGCGCGAAATGTTCGACCCCCGTAAGCAACAGCTTGCCAACAAGCGCAAAGGAGACCAAGACGAGGAGGCGGAGCGCAAGAAGAGGAAAAATGATAAGAACAGCAACTCTGCTGCTTCTGCAGCAGCAGCAAGGGCTGGTCAAATGCAGAAGATCCGCGAGGCGGAGCAGAGTAGCAAAAGAAGAGCTCTTGTCCTACCAAGCCCTCAGGTCAGTGAAAGTGAGATGGAGGATATCATCAAGATGGGTATGGCAGGTGATAAGGCCAGCAAGATGGCTGGTGATGAAGAAATGACACGAGGCTTGCTTGGAAATTATTCGGCAATTGTTGGCGGGACACCGATCAGGACCCCTCGCGCTGCGCCGGAGGAAGATCATATCGCCAATGAGATTAAGAACATCAGAGCCCTTACTGAAACCCAGTCGTCATTGTTGGGAGGCGAGAACACACCTTTGCACGAGGGAGGATCTTCTACTGGCTTTGATGGTATTGCACCACGGCGCCAGGAGATTGTCACACCGAACCCTATGGCCACGCCTTTCCGACAGGCCAATGGTGGTGTCAGTGCGACACCTATGCGAGGAGGTGTTGGTCCGGGAGCGACTCCTTTGCGAACCCCCCGTGACCATTTCTCCTTGAATCAGATGGAAGGGGGACAGCTTGTTGGGAGCACTCCGAAGGAGATCAAGATGCACGAGAATTTTATGCGCCAAAGCATCCGCAGCAAGCTTTCCGCGCTGCCAAAACCAAAAGAAACCGAATGGGAACTGGAGGAACTTCCTTCAGAGTCTGCAGAGCCAACCGTCAGCGAGGAGTATGTGGAAGAGGACATGGCAGAGCGAGATAGGAGGGAAAGAGAGGCGCGAGAGAAGGCAGCTCAGGCTGAATTAAAGCGTCAATCACAAGTCTATCAGCGATCACTCCCCCGTCCAAGTGTTCTAGATATAGACGCGCTGGTTGAACGTGCGTCACAAGTGACGGATCCGATTGCCAGCATGATCTCCAAAGAGGCTGCTTTGCTTATTGCCCACGATGCTCGAAAATTCCCTGTTCCTGGTGCTAAGGTAGAGGGCAAATCTCGGAAAGCGGAACGGATTGATGACGCGTTGATAGAAGCAGCTCGCATTGCTATTGCCACCGAAGCAAATTCTGAGGAAAAGAAACCAGAGTGGACAGAGGACTTCGATGCTCAGTGGACAACTGCACATTCGAAGGCTCTTCCAGGTCTCTCCAATTATGCCGATGACGGAGAGGACGAGTACCAACAAGAGCAACGTATGATTAGTGTTTTTGACAATGTGCAAGTCTCTCTTCTTGCCACAGCCGAGAGAGGAAATAAACTCGAGAAGAAGCTTGCGCTGCATTACGGCGGATATCAAAACCGGGCGAAAATGCTACGGAGTAAGATACTTGAAGCCAGCGCCGCTTTGGAGAAGTCAAAGGATGAGCTAGATGCGTTCCGTAACCTACAGATTTCTGAGGAGGCAGCGATTTCCACGAGGCTAGAGAAGCTGCGGGACGATGTGGCTTTTGTCATGAGAAGAGAGCGTGAAGCTCAAGAAGTATACCGGACCCGAAAAGAGGAGCTTGATGAGCTCATTGCAGGGACAGGGGGGATGGTTAATGGATGGCATTAACGCTGAAACTGAGAGGTCAGTACCTGAATCTGTACTTCAAAATGTAATCCAATTTTGCCTTCTTCCACATTTGCTGCAAGTCTTCATACATGGCGTGTCTATCGGGTTTTACTGGAATGTGTTTTCATACTGTCTTTTTTCTCTTGCGGTAGCTCTATTGTTAGCGCAAGCCTGTTTATTAAGGGGATACTCAACACAAACGAAACGAAATGTAAAGGCAGCATTTGCATGCTTAACTGGAAACAATGACTACTAGTATGACTGTCACTGTCGGGTTGTAGGGGCTACCCAAAACGGATAACAAGATGACCACGGATGGGAACCTAAGGCAAACAACCTCAAAGGCGGTCTCTTCCGAGCATCGCAACGGACAATCCTCCATCCCCTCCAATATCGTTCCCCTTCGTTTGCATCGCATATTCCCTCCACGATTATATTTCCATCTGTACAAACCCGCTAGACCGATCGAAAATTACTCCCCCAACGCGATGGGCGTCAGAGATTCCCATGGGGAGGCAACCGCGACGCCGGACCCCGTTGAGAAGGGTTTCGCCACCCTCAACACCATTCGGTATGTCGCTGAATACACCTGAAGAAATTAGTTATAGTGTCTTCGGTATCTATTTCATCGGTCGCATCAACTAATCAGAATGATAGGATCGGTGTTAAGGCTATGGTTCAGAAGGTTAGCAGCTATTCAACTCCTTCAATTTTTATATAATCACGTGATTAACGCATATATTGAACTATATACTGATATAATATCGTAGGATGGAGAATTGAGAAAAGCCGAGATCTTGTCTATTAGACAGCGCAAAGATGGCCCAAGCTTTTAGTACGTTTCGGATAGGTATGAAATGTGTCTACACAAAAGTACTAATCAAATTTAGTGTCCATTACGTCGATTTCAATAAGCGTCTCGACGGTAAGTTTGGCATCAATATCTATATTGCAAAATCATACTGACACGATTATAGAGTGGATTGATTCCACGAGGATTGATTTATCTCACGAGGTTGAATGGCCACAGCCTGAGAAACCAGAGAAGAAGAAAGCAGGTCCTGGTAACAAAGCACCAAGCAAGAATGCTCAGAAGCGTGCAAGAGCTGGAAGCCGCGAGGTTTCGGCGACCCCAGATCTTTTGACGGGCAAGAATACCAATGTTGGCAAAGCACAGCGTCCGTCTAAGGCAGGCGGGAAAGAAAACCGTGATGAGACGCCTGCAAATTTGTCAATCCTAGATTCGGAAGCCATTTCTGCAGATGTGACCCCTAAGCCCGAATCCGATGATGTTGATATGATTGGCGTCAGCTTCACGGATACCAAGGAAGAGCACGAACAAGGTAAAATGTCACGCGAAGAGGAAATCGAACGATTGCGTACCAGCGGGAGTATGACCCAAAACCCTACGGAAATTCATCGCGTGCGTAACTTGAATCGTCTACAAATGGGCAAGTTTGACATTGAGCCCTGGTACTTCTCTCCTTATCCTGCATCGTTTTCAGATGTCGACATGGTCTACATTGATGAGTTTTGCTTGAGTTATTTCGACAATAAACGCGCTTTCGAGCGCCACCGTGCGAAATGTACCCTTGTGCACCCACCTGGAAACGAGATCTACCGAGATGACCATATTTCATTTTTTGAAGTGGACGGTCGACGCCAGCGCACCTGGTGCCGCAACCTTTGCCTTCTTAGCAAGCTCTTCCTTGACCATAAAACACTCTACTACGACGTCGACCCTTTCCTATTCTACTGCATGGCCACTCGGGATGAGACCGGTTGCCATCTGGTGGGCTATTTCTCCAAAGAAAAAGATTCCGCAGAAGGCTATAACCTTGCTTGTATCTTGACTTTGCCGCAATACCAGCGTCTCGGCTACGGACGACTGCTTATTTCCTTTAGCTATGAGCTCAGCAAGCGCGAAGGAAAGCTCGGCTCGCCAGAAAAGCCCCTCAGTGACCTGGGTTTGCTAAGTTACCGGCAATACTGGCGAGAAACACTCGTGGAATTACTCATAGAGCCGGGCCGAGAGTCCATGAGTGAGAACGAGCTTGCTGTGCTAACATCGATGACCGAGAAGGATGTCCATGAGACACTGGTCGTGTTCAACATGCTTAGATACCACGTACGTTACTAGGTCCTACCCTTCACCCCGTATGTTCGGGAAAAAATGGCTAACTAGTTGTTATAGAAAGGAAACTGGGTTATTGTCCTCACAGACCAAGTCGTTGAACAACACAATAAGCGCCTCGAGAAAGAGAAAATCAAAGGGTCTCGCAAAATTGACCCTGCTCGTTTACAATGGAAGCCTCCAGTCTTCACAGCTTCAAGCCGAACATGGAATTGGTGAGGCGCAAAAACACCCGATTGAAAAATATCTATACAGGACAATACTTTTTTTTCCTTCTTTTTTGGCCTTAAACTTGTACATAATTCACATCTCTTGGTGTCGGGCATTTGTATGATATCATTAGCGCAGGATTGGTCACTGTTTTTTCCCCCTTTTTTTGGGAGGGGTTCTGTTTTAGGGGAAATGGCTTGTTTGGATTGGAGGTTATTTAACAACGTCGGGGACTAGATGATATTATAATATACCTAAGCGATCAACCATATGCGGAGTTCGCTCGAATACCTCTTTCTATATCTAGCAACGAGAAAAGAGTCGATGAACAAGAGAGTGTACCTTACACCGTCTACAATGCCGGACAAAAAATATACCTGGAGATTTCAACGAGAATTTAACGGCCTGGCACGATGCTAGATACACGCATGCCGAGTCTCAAGACAGAGCTTCGTACGTCTGTCCCTAGCCTGTCTTTGGCTTCTAACCACGAGAGCAAGGAATACACAGGCTTTGCTTCAAGTGCCAAAGTCTCCTGCATGAGATGTATAGGTAGGTATAGTAGAGCCCGAAACAGGATATCGAAGACAAGTGGGGGAGCAAAACGGGAGTCAGTACATGTCAAACAGCACAGAGCCTAGTCATGGGACGCGAGGAGTAAAGAAAGATGGCTAAGAGGAAGTAGAATGAGAAGAAAGTAAGACAGACTCAAACATCTGAATATCTCTCGTACGGACAGTAGGATAAGTCACAGGACTGGTGAGTTGTATGCGGAAGGAAAGGAATTCCCGTCCCACTCAATATGGCGACATTACTCGGGGCCAGTGTTGATAAGGTAGAAGGAGGAAAAAAATGTACGGTTAGAAAAGATAAGGACATTAAGAAGAGCACTAGAAATTCAAGGCAAAACCAGACCCATCAATTCCCTACAGGCGTAGCTCATCAATACCGAAAAAAGACGCTCAACGAATATCGGAAACCTGGCAAAAGCCAATTCAAGGTTGAAACGTAACTCAAAGAACGGGAGATTATTCCGCAAGGATACTTTCCCACTGCACTCAACGAGACCCGCTATATGTACGTGGGCCCCAGGAAGCATTGCGCGACTGGTGCCGCGGGGAGCCTGTTTCATTGTTTTGTTGGGAAGATGATTTCTTGGAAGTCGAAGCTACAGACCCTTCGCGAGGTTTTGTGTTCTTTCGAGGCTTATAGCTCGAAGTTCCACGCGGCCGGGGGTTCTGGCTTCCTGCCTTCCTCGGGAGGGCCACCGTTTTCGCAATAATTGTACCTGGGAAACGGATTGAAACCCGTAAATTTCCTGTGCCATCTTTATCATGAAAACCAAATGAATAAGGTTCAACGCTATGAACCTGCATTAGCTTCAGATGCTTAGCTCGTAGTCTCGACTGCGAAGGTGGTGGCGCCGCCTGCCAAGCTGCAGGGGGAGCTCTGGTAGGTACTCGAACAACAGGTAGAGACCCTACTTCACGGTCCTCAAAAATTTCTTCAGTTTCTTCAACCTGCTTAGCAGTTATCTCGCCGTCTCCTATTGGTTGCTCGCCATGTTGGGGAAGTGAGACTGAAACTGCGGCGATATGCAATACGTCCAGGGGTTCTTTGGATGCAGACGTCACGGCCAAGGCAGTCTTCCTCTCAGGCACTGTCTTCTTGCCAAATAGGGTGTTAATTTTCTCCTGCCATGAAGTAGCAGTAGAGACAGGAGGGCGGGGCGGCGCAGCAGCCATAGATGCGAAGGTAGGAGGAGGTTGTGGTGGAGCGATGAGTTTTGGAGGAAGTTTGACAATGGGCCTTGGTGCAGGAAGGTGTACCAAAGGTTTGCTGGTATTGCCTGTGAACACCGGATGGGTTGACATTTCTTCTGGTGGTGGTGGTGAGGGGCTGCGAATAAAATCGCCTTCCGCAAAAGGTGGCTTCTTGTACTGCTCGGATGCCTGTGGGAAGAACCGTGAACTTCGAACTGGAACGCTGCCGAGAGGGCGTGAATTGGCCTCTGTAAATGGAAGAGGACCAACAGGATGATCCAACCCTGGGAGAGGGTTGGGTGGAATCGCTGCGTTGGCATCTGCTGTTCTAGATATACCAACGACCTGTCTTTGCCCGGCTTGGTCTCCAGTCCGTACCTGCCGCCAAGTCTCGTTGAAAGTTACTTGTAGAGAAGATGGTCCCTCGCGCGTAGCGTTCATCTCATTGCGAAGTTTATCATTTTCTTCTGCTTCGCGCTTGGCAGCAACTGTATGGAAATTGTTCCAGGCAACGGTCCCTGCGACACGGTTGTCATGTTGCCATTGATGTTGCGAACTAGGAGGTCCGATAGGACCAGGACGGGCGATGGGATTTAAAGACTCGTATGGTGCGTGTCTAGCTTTAGGGGACGCTATGGGGGATATTGGTGTACTTTCTTGAGGCGAGCGCGAAGGTGTAGAGAACGACTGTGATCCTGGGGCGACAGGGGGCTGATCCAAAACAAGAGGGTTACGCAGAGGAACATCTCTCCCTGGAGGAAACCCTGGAAGACTCTGTTCAAATATGCCATTACCCAAAGTCTTGTCACTGCTAAGAGGTTTCCAAGGGTTCGCTATGGAAGGAGAGGTCCCGACTAATTTGGCATTGGGAGCCCACGGTGGGTACGAACTAGAAGCATTGAGGCCACCCCTCCACTGGGTTGATTGCTCATCGAGCTTGTTCTCTGACAGTTTTTCAGGCGTTTGTGTTTGAGAGTCACCAGGCTGTTGGAGTCCATTCGTCGTGGTAGTATCCGGTTTAGGTTCCCGGGGAGGTGAAGGGGCGCGCCGGGCATTGGCCGTCGGTGAGGACTTTTCGGCAGCTCTTTCCACTAATTTTCTCACAGTGTCGGGATGATGAACCTTCATCATTCCATATTGCTTTGGCTCTCCCGATGTTCCGGAACCGGGGGTTTGGGAGGGGACAACGATGTGTGAGTAACACCAGGTGAGGGACTCGTGTCAGGCTTACTACCTTCCAGAGTGTCCTTGCGCTGTGCCTTGGGCTTTTCGGGAGGTGGACCAAGAGCTTCGAGCTTTTGCCGGATCCTTTCTCGTTTGGCAGCTTCCTCCTTTTCTTCTTGCTCTATTCTTCGCTGCCGAGCCTCCATTCTCTTTTCTTTCATAATCCGTTCTTGCATGACAACTGGATCTTCCTGGGGCGCTTGCGGGGTCGCAGTTTGGTTAACAGCATGAGGAACATATGGCTGACTCGTGCCATCAGGTGCACCCTCTTGTACACCGGCTGCACCGCGTTGAGTCCAGGAATGACCGGGGCCACGTCGAGCAGGAGAAGGTTCTCGCAAAGGCGTCTCCTGTTGAGGTACCAAGCCTGGCAACGGGGGCTCAACCATACCGTTGGCCTGCGACCCTCTTCTGATTTCAAATGACCGTTGGGTTGCGTCAGTTCGACCAATCGACATCCGACGTGCAAAGCTGCCACTTCCTCCACTGACGTTAGATGACGTGCGCCGACGTGTCCAGTGAATACCATCCTGTCCACTTGACCTATGTGTCTGAAACGCGGGTGAAGGCTCCGCAGGTCCTGCCTGTTCACCCGGCACTGGCCGCTGCAACACGGATGGGGTGCGGAAGCTCTGTTCAGTGCGCCAGGATCCTTTCCTAGTTTCAGATACTGGCTCATAACGGCCTGACCGGGAGTTGTATAGCTCACGGGTACCAGACTGCGAGTCCTTCCATGACCGATTGAAATCGTCCGCAGCTATCTCCTTCGGATGAGTAACACCGCTATAACGGTCGATTGGAAGTGGTTCTCTGGACGAAGTATGTACCTGAGGTTGAACTTGCACAGGAGGTATAACAGGAGACATTTTCTCAACTGGTGGAAGAGGAGCCCATGGTGACTTCGCTGGGGGTGGCGCCGGACTTGTAGAGAGTGACGGCGACTTCTCGTTAGTGCCTTTAGAAGAAATGCTTGCGCTCTTTGCCTGCCTTTCCGCATTTGCTCCCAGCCTAAGAACAGTAGGGTTCGGTCCAACCGAAGTCGTAGGCTTGGGGACAAATTTGGTAGCCTCTTTAATAGCGGGAACTTGCTCGGGGCGTGGAGGCGGAAAGTCATTTTTGGGTTCCATCGACGGTTTGCTCTCTTGCTTTGTTGCCGCAGTGTGTTCCACTTGGGACAGATTTGTCTTCGTTCCGTCAGTCCATTCAATTGTTTCCGGTGCCCAGTCATCTTCATCATCATCAATATCGGCCCACTTTGCCTCTGTTCCACCGCCATCTTCTTGAATACGCGACGTCATGTGGATTCCATACTGCTGCTTAAGCTCTTCGTCCGTCAAGTGTTTCGGCGGAGTCTGCTGGATCGCTAGACACAATTCAAAATTAGCGGAGACTTTAAGAGTCAATCATTACTGCCTTACGTCGATTCTTATTCCAGACTTGATTTGGGTCGGGCCCACTTCCAGCTGGCCTCGCCGCACTCGTCCCTGTTTTCGATAATGAATCGCGGAGACTGCTAGTAGTTTTCGCGACCAAGCGTGGTCGTGAGCTTTGCAACGGTACACCCAGCGGGGTGGTTGAAGACAACGGAGCTAAGATCGGTTAGACTTCTATTTGGCGTGACACCTTGTACGGACAAATACCTTTCTCGGCAATCTTAGCTGTCGAAGGCGTTCCTGGAGCTTTGGGCACTGAAAACTTTGCGAAGGAGACTGGCTTGAATGATGTCGGCCTCTTTGTTGAACTTGCACGTGAGTTAAGTCTGCTCTCCGTTCGACTGGCGTCGGATTCTGAGCCACCTTGGGAAGCCGTATCCTCTCCAAAATCAGAACCTGATGCTACTCCATTTAATTCAAGCGCCCTTGTCGCCACTGGCCCAGGCCCTTGCCTTGAAATATCCTATTTCTGATTCAGCAGGGGGACATTATAATGCCCAGGTAACCAAGACTCACGGTCGTCGATTGTTCCGTATCCCTCCCAGTAGCATTCTTTTCACTGTATGTCTCAGATAAACTCGTATCATGCGTGCCTTGTTCGGCGTTCGTGATTGTTTCGAGCTGCGTAGTTGTTGCGGTATATTTGATCTCCCCCACGTCCCCTCCGGCAGGTTTCTTGTCGTTGGTGCTCGCAGGAACGTCGGAAGGCGAAGGCTCGCCGCCCGACAGGGTTTGATTTACCACATCGTGGCTGCTCTTCTCTGCCATAACAATTCTCGAGTCTGTGAGGCCAACAGGTTGCGACATCTGTTAGACAAGTGTTCTGAAACTGTAAACACTGAAACAAGTGGCGACTATAAGGTTGAACTCATGGCTAAACTTGAAGGAACGGTCTAAGAAGTACCTATTGTCAGGTATCGAGAATCGCCACGGTCGAACTATTCGCTCAACTGCCTGAGCCGTGAAAAGCTCCAAGCGACCAGGTGGACAGCGGAGAATGTCCTAGGTAGAGAACAAGAGATGAAGCTCGGCGAAACAAGGTCGGGAGGGCGGGAAATTCTAGTGGAAGAGTGAGAGCAAGCAGCCCAGTTAGTCCCCAAAGGGAAGTTCAACAGTAAAGTGGTGCTTCTCAGGTTGATGTGATCGGGTGATGGCAGCAGTCATGGACGGATGGGCGGTTCAGGTTGAGACTAAGGGTGGCTGTTTTCGGTTAGCGTGGGACAAGTGAAGTACTCCGTAAAGCAAACCTTTGTGGCTGGACCTGTTGCGGCCGATGTTCACTCACATTCACTTCGTTAGTATGCCGTTGTTTTCTTATTACAGGTAGTGATATTGAGAACTATTGAAATAGTGGATACGTGATAATTTATTTTTATATTTTTGGTCTTCTTCTTTTGGGGCTAGATTTCGTTTCTTCCTTTCAATTTTAGTTTATTATACTTTTGTCACTAACACCATTTTATAGCATGACTAAAGATCGTTCCATGAAGTAGCGCAAGATATGATTCATTGTTATTTTAGTCATCCGATGTATGACACACTTTAAATGATCTGGAGACAATGATGAGTCACTACTAACTAGGAATCTGTGAAACATAATAAGCTTGAATGTGTTCTACATTGCCTTCATTCTAGGTCAGCGGTATATACACGAATCTTCCGCGCCCCTCAAGTCATAGCGAGAAAATTTAGTGGGGGTGGTTCTTGTGGTGACCTAGAAGTGTGTTAGATTCTCGACGTCCATATTATGGCATTGAAAGGGAAACATACGGAGGTGGAAGTAGTACTCCATGCTGTAGCCGAGGAGGAGAATACCACCGATGGCGTGAGCGAGGGCTATATGATTATCAGCGCATGCTATGTATACTTTTAGGAACGTGAGTGTCTACTTACGAGCAGCAGAGGGGTTCTTGCCGAAGTAACGAGCCTGGTAGCGGCCAATAAGACCGGTAGGCTTAACTTCAGGGGCCGAGCCACGGGGAAGGCGGGCATAGAAGTTCACAACGCGGTCCATACGGGCAGCATCCTTGGCAGCACCAATCGCCTTTCCAAGTGTCAGTGTAATACAGTAATGAGAGGGAGAAACCATATGCTACGGTGTCCCGAGCCGCATTGAAAAAAGAAGTTGTTCCGAGCGGAGCGACTTCAGTGGCTGTCGGGGAGCATGACGGTAGGGGAAGGGGATCTCACGTTAGGAGAGGCGATCTACAGACGAGTCAGTATCGATTGTTCAGAAGATCTCCATCGGTTCTGTTCTCTTCGTGGGTTCTTCTTACCTTGGGAGGGATCAGGGTCGAAAGACCTCGGCGAGTGATGTAGCTCATCTTGTGTGACTAAGTCGGGTTAGAAAGCTTTGAAATTCACGCGAATAAAGATTTAGATAGACGGTATCCATCTCATGGACATCTCTCTTACCTTGATACAAGCAAGTGGACTGAGATGATGGCTAATGGCAGAGAGAAGGAAGTGCCAACAGAAAGCGGGTTGTCGGATGAGCGGTTCCTAACGCAGGGAGCCTCATGTTGCGCTAACCGGATTTGGAATCGTCTTTAACGACCGGCAACTTGCCGCATACCTCACCTGGCGATTGCACTTCCTCAGCCTCTTGTTCTGTCCAGCCAACGAGGGACACAATTGCCATAATGTCACTTTTCAGAGCAGGAAATCTCGCCTGCTTCCGAGCTGGCAGGCTTACTGCGCCTATCAATGCCCGTTTCCTGTCCACCAACACCGGCCAAGGCGACCCTTCCGTGAGAACCAGCCCTGCTGATGCCCCGGCGGTGCCTCCCAAGGACAGCTCGTTAATCCGCCAGGAGAGCCCTGCTGAGGCAATGGCTCGCCACCAACCGGATTACGAGGCCACAATTGATCACGGCACCTCGTAAGGGACTCTACATAACGCCAGGAGCGATTTGGCTGACAGAGACGTAGGAAATTCTCCCCAGTGCCCAAGCGTGTCATGGATGGAAGCGAGCCCGGTGACACCGTCCCTGCTGCTGTTCTTTCTGGTGCTCCTACCGACCTCCAGGCTCGTACTGTCAGGTATAGATGCAAACTTCGAACATCCATTTCAAACGCTAATTATGTCATTTAGGATCTACCGCCCCTCGAAGCCCGCCACACAATCTGGTACCTGGCATCAGCACCACTGGAGGATGGATTGGGACGTGTTGCAGAAGGGCCACCGCTGGGAGAACCCTCTGATGGGTTGGCAATCGTCTGCTGATAATATGCAGGGTACTAATCTGAAATTCAAGTCCAAGGAAGATGCCATTATGTTCGCTCAGAAGCAAGGCTATGAGTATTTTGTTCAGGAGCCAAATGAGCGCAGATTTGTTCCTAAGGCTTATGCGAACAACTTCGTTCACGAACCGAAGAAGATCAAGCACATCAGGACCAAATAATCGATTACATCAAGTGTATCTTGTACATAACTCCAGACTTTTTACTCTTTCGCAATTGTTTCTCAGGTTTTCTATAACTCTTTAATATGTTTCCAATGCCCATATATCGAAGGCTTAGTTCCCCACGATCCAGGGCAGCACGGTTCACTGGGCAGGGGAGCACGTACTTGTAGTTCTTCCTGGGTCGATTTCGGTTGGTGCTACTCCCAATGATCGAGAAAGCTATCTAGCCAGGTCTTCCCAAGAATTTCATGGCTACTGGCGTTTTGTATTAGCTCGATTGAGGAACGCCGTTCGCTTTACCTATAAACATAGCAGGGAAGCTCGTTAGCGTCAAGAGAAAGCGAGCATTCACCAGCACCTCTTTATTTTGGGGGGTTTCCTTAAAGGGAAAATGTTCTTCTGTTCCATCAGATCTGCGGATGACGTAGTGTGTGTGTGTGTGTGCATATAACTGTCTCATAAGATAGACTTTTCTATATGGATTCACCCAATGCAAATGTCTTACAAGATTATCTGACATACTTACGTACGAATTGCACTTCCTCGTAAGCATTATAACAGACGACATTTCGCTATACCAAACATGTGAACTCTGGCCATACTCCTGAATTGAAAAAAAAAAAAGAAGGGGAAAAAATTCGAGTCCCTCGTGAGCATAATTATCTCAAGTTGTCTCTATATTGCAAATCCATCATGATTTAGTCAAAGAAAGGGTACGCAATATGTATATTGTAGTCTCCCCTTAGAAACCATACAAAGATAGGTAAATTCCCAAGCTCCACATCGATCACCTACAAACTCTGCAAAAAACATTTGCCTAGAATTCCGGGAAAGAATGAAACTCTTGCAAGTTCCGGTACTAAGTTTCGAGTTAGAGAAGATCTTAAAGTACCTGACCTTTTCGCTTTTTTTTTTTCAGGTCTAGTTGCGGCCGGACAACCCCGCCACCCCACCTAAAATTTATTATCTGGTGAAGATAAGATCGAAAATTTACAGATACTCACTCGGTGATCCAACACTTTCTTCTACCCTCGGAATATCTCGGAAATACACAGACTAGATATATAATGGCATCTACTGCAGTTGATCATCCTGAGGGAGTGGATGAGACCATCCTGACTCTTCGCAAAGTTCTTGTCAATGAGTCTGAGCCGCTTGCTCGCCGATTCCGCGCCCTGTTCTCCTTGAAATACATTGCTTGTTTGCACCCGCCGACCGAGAAGACACTGCCTGCGATCCAGGCCATCGCAGCGGGATTTACATCGTCATCGGCCTTGCTGAAGCATGAGCTCGCATACTGCCTGGGTCAGACTCGTAATCCAGATGCAGTCTCGTACTTGCTGGAAGTGGTGAAGAACACTGAACAAGATGCAATGTGTCGCCATGAAGCCGCAGAGGGTCTTGGTGCTCTGGGGTTTGACACCAGTCTGGATGTCTTGAAAGCTTTGCGGGATGATGAAAAAGAAGAGGATGTCATTAGAGAGACATGTGATATCGCCGTCGACAGAATTCTCTGGGAGAATTCGGAAGAGAGGAAGAGCGAGAAACTGAAGCCTAGGTACTACAACCGTTTCAATACCCCTATCTCCGCAAACTTTTCTTCTGGGGAAATTATTCTAATTGTATTCTTTCTTCAATGCAGTGATTTTACCTCGATTGACCCAGCCCCACCACTCCCAATGGCGTCCAGCAGCCTTCTATTTCCGACTTGGAAAAAACATTGCTCGACACAAAGCTCCCTTTGTTCCAAAGATACCGCGCTATGTTTGCTCTGCGCGACCTTGCCTCGCCCCCCGATCTTCCTACAGCTGTCGAAGCTGTTGAAGCATTGGCTAAAGGACTCAAGGATCCGTCTGCTCTCTTCCGCCATGAAGTTGCCTTTGTGTTCGGTCAGCTCTGCCACCCGGCCTCTGTTCCTAGTCTCACAGAAACCCTCAGCGACCAGAAAGAAATGGGCATGGTAAGACACGAGGCTGCTGAGGCTCTTGGTAGCTTGGGTGATGTTGAAGGTGTGGAGGACACCCTAAAGAAGTTCCTCAACGACCCAGAGCAGGTGGTGAGAGACAGCATTATCGTGGCTCTAGATATGGCGGAGTATGAGAAGAACGGGGAGATGGAGTATGCGTTGGTGCCGGATTCAGCAGCCCCGGCTGCTGTATCTGCTGCTTGATAGATTTTCGGCAAACTAAAAAAGATTATAGTGGCTTAATTGATACTCGCTTCATAGATGTACAGCCGCGAACCCAAAATAGAAATCTTTTCCGATGTTTAGTTGTTTTGTGTCTCCCTATAAATCGAATATTAGCATCATGCGTGAATGACCATAACAGCAAATGGACGTAGAGTCACATACTTGTAACCACAAACGCAAGTGTAAAAGACCGTGCTTCCTTCGTCTGCACTGCGCAATTGCACGGTTGTGAAGTACATCTCTTTCCTGCCACATCTCGCGCAAGTATGTTGTGTAAGAGCTTCTGTCCTTTTATCTGCAGCTGTCAAGTTCTGGACTGCAGATCGTTTTGCCCTCAGTGTCGAAGGGAAAGCACTCGCTTTGGATTCAGAAACGATAGTTTTAGGAACAATGTCTGAAAGGAAAGTGAGATTAATATGAGCCAGGCAGAGACTTCTGGGAGTGAAATGAATTTACCTCGATTACGAGCTCCGCAGATGCTGCAGACGATGAGTTTCGTAGGGTCACCAGACGACTCATCTAATAAATTTCCGCAGTCATTGCAGAAGATCAAGGACCCAATTGCAGACATTTTGACAAGTGGTGACTTTAAATAAACCTGTAGTTGGAAGAGGTAATCTGGAGCAATTAGTTAGTACTACTTTTTTTTTCTTAGGCTGGTTGGCTGTCGGAAAGAATTCCCAGAGCACGGGCCACTTCGAAATGGACATACATGATTAGTGCCGGGCGGTCAGAAACGGCAGCGGCAAGAGACCCGTGCCTGGCATGATAATAATTATTACATTGTTTTTATCGTGAAGTATCTCAAGAAGACAAGATATCGGACGGGGATGGAATTTGAGTCTTTTGCTTGAAAGCCATGTCTCCAGTAGGAGCATGTCATTTCCTTCTTTTCAAATCGCCTGGGTCCTCAACTCCAATCCTCCCTTAACGAAAACCCCAGTTCATCATGGACCGCAACTGGCATCCGGCCGTTCAGGTCGTCATCAATGGCCACCCTCAAGCGCAGGCTCACACTCCTGGTGGGCCACCACAACGCCGGGACAAGCCATTATCTGTGGAAGAGGCTTTGCAGTACTCACCCATGTCCAGTTCTCCGATATTTGGCCTAGGTGATTTGATATGGAACCTAATGGGGCATGGTAACCGCTAGCTGATACACGATTCTTTGTAGATTGCATACTGCGTCCTGATGTTGGCCGACCCCCTAATACTACCTCTATCAACCATATCCTTCAATCCGGCCGTACTACTTTGACCGAACTCAATGGCGAAGTTTCCTCTGGGCGCGATGAGTCGAGCCTGTTAGAGACATCTCGAGAATATCTGCAACAGTTGCTGGATGGTGACCAGTTAACTGAGTTGTAAGCGTCTCCCATACCTCACAATTACGACATAAAACTCATAATCCCTCAGCAAATTCAAAATTCCTATAACCTCCCGTAATGATCAGCATTCCCTCCCCACTACTTCCAGCGAACATACTTCCAGTCGCAGCAATCTGGGCTCATTCACGAGGATGATGCTGGAATCGACAGATATAGCATTTCGCTGTAAGGTTGGACTATTCTAACCACTTCGTTGATAGACTGACATGTCACAGATCCCACACCATCACAAGCTGAGGATGAGAAGCGCTCTCAAAAGGCTATTTCCTGGAATTCGAAAGCCCATGCCGCAATCAAGTCGACACCTGCATCCTACAATCAACATAATCATATGTCGAGCAACTTATCTGTAGTAATTCCAGTTAAAACGATACCTCCCGATGTTGATGGCCGTGTTATTTCAAAGCGGAGGAAGCTCAATATTGATGGGGACGATAACCTTGCGGCAATCCGACTCAAGGACCAGAAAGAGGAGGCAGACGCTGCTCTAGTGAAGCTTCAGGACTTACTTCATGAGATATTCGAAGCTGAGGATCAACTAGAACCAGGCATGGCGTCTGCTACAACGGCTGAGCACCCCAATGCGGTATTTTCGGCCGCCCGGGCGCTTGACATCAGCGGATCACTTTTGTCTTCGGATGTCCACAGTCGTCTTCAGAAGGCTATCCGGAAGGTAGTGGGGTTCAATAGACTTCAGGATATCCCATCGGACTATTTGAACAGGATCCAGAAGCTTTGTGAAAAGCCCGTCATTGCTGCACAATCGCCTGATTTGAGATTAGAGGATCCTTCCAACGACTCCGAAGCCCAGGAATGGCTGAAGAAGATAGATGATATGCACAATGCTCTTCTTGCAGTAGGTACCCTATTACTGACCATGTCGGGCTCTCAGACGGAACGGGACCTTTGCCCTGAGGATCTGATTGAAGCCATTCCGAACGTTCTCAATCAAACATTCGACCACTGTGTTATCCCTGCTGTAGAAGCTCGACCCGGTGGGAAAGAGGCCCGTCATTTTGAGTTCTTCTCTGCCCAGAAGCGTGTTATCGGGGGATTGATTCAGCAAAGCAAAAAGGCTCTTGCGCTTTTCGCCGATTTCCTTGCACGGATAGACGTGTCTGAAGGGACGGTCACAGCGGCTGAATTTTTTGCTTGCAAATTGATATTTGTAGAAAATTCTCACACGGAGAAGGATTCTGCAGTGGGATTCCAGAAATATGAGTCCGTTCGACGCGGAGCTATGGATGTCCTTGCCAAAGTATTCTCCAAATACCCCGCTCAGCGCCCATTTATCTTGGATGAGATTTTAGTTTCACTGGAAAAACTGCCGTCAACCCGGCAAAGTGCGAGACAGTTCAAGCTCGCTGATGGCAAAAATATCCAGCTTCTAACGGCATTGGTCATGCAACTGGTTCAAACAACTGCTCTAGATGTACCGATATCACGTTCATCAAGAACGAAATCTAAACTTCCACCTTCAGGTGACGAAGAAGAAGAGGGAGAACAGCTGGATGATGCACGCAGGAGGGAAGATGATGACGAGTCCGAATTGACCATGGAACAGTTAGCTACGAAGGTTAATCGCCTCTACGATAATGCCGTTCGCAGTGCTCAGTATATAGTGAAGTTTATTGTTCAACGAGCAATGACATCCACCAAAACGGGTGATCAGCCGTATCGGAACATCCTTGATTTGTTTACCGAGGATTTGATCGGCGTTCTAGGATCAACAGACTGGCCTGCCGCAGAGTTACTTCTCCGCATAATGGCCTCTCATATGGTTGGCATTGCCGACTTAGATAAGAGTCCTGCTACTGCGAAGAGCATGGCACTTGAGCTCCTCGGTTGGATGGGATCTGCGATATCAGATCTTATTGTGACTGCCCAGCATTTACTTCCCACAATGGAAGAATCTGACAGTGAGCTGACTGACTATCTAAAACAGTTATTTGAAGATTACTCTGGCCGGGCCCTCCATCCCCAAGATCTTGTTGTCGCAGAAGGCCCCTACCGGATGACTCTGGAATATTTTCTTCAAGTTCGTCACCTGGACGATTGGCAGCTCACTAGTGCTCGGGGTTACTATCTGGCACAGTGGGCAAAGTCTTTCTGTTCAGTCTATTATAATGCAGACGAGAGAGAAGATGTCACTTATGATGATATGACTGAAAACCTTGTCGATATTTTTGCAAAATTGTTTTCTGACCCACTGTGGCTGGAAACCCACAAGTAAGTGACGCGTGAATTGCTTGTCGCTGATTCGACCCTAATACGTTTAATAGGCATTTTAACAATGTATCCGCTGCACATGGAAGATTCTCATACATAATGACCGTTCTGAACTCAAGCTTTTGTAAAGCTTTCGATACGATTTTGAAAGTTCTACTCAATTCTATTGCCAGTGACCAAGCCAAGGTTCGGAGTCGCAGTTTGAAAAGCGTTATCTACATGCTTGAGAAGGACCCGAGCCTTCTCGATAGGGACACATCAGTGATGCGCGTTATTCTTCGATGTGCCACCGATGCATCTCCTATGGTGCGTGACTCTGCGCTCTCTCTGATTGCGAAATGCATTTCCCTCAAACCGAAACTTGAAGAAGATGGCTGTCGGAGTATATTGACTTGTGCTGCTGATCCAACCGCCGGTGTAAGGAAACGGTGCATTGGTTTACTTAAGGATATCTATCTCAAGACCTCACGTACTGAGCTGAAATTAGCGATTCTGGACAGTTTTCTTCAACGAACTGGAGATCTCGAAGAGAGTGTCTCCACTTTGGCGCGTCAAACTTTCGAAGAGATCTGGTTGGCCCCTTTCTATGAGCTTGTTGACTCGGCTCAAGATGGTCCTAAATTAAAGGTTGGCTTGGGGGAACGAGTGACACTATTTGTTAGCTTGGTGCAGCGCAGCGAGACAGCGCTCGAAACACTCGGCGGGTGTCTCAGGAAAATTTTGTCCGACAGCTCTAAATCCTCGTCTTCAAACTTTAAAGTATGCAAGGCAATGGTCTCGACTATGTTTGAAAAGTTGGTGGAGGATAGCGATGCAGGCAAAGAATTCCAGCAAGCTCTCCTGCAGACAATAACTGTGTTCGCAAAGGCAAACGCGAAGCTATTCCGCCCCGACCAGTTGGAGACTCTTCACCCTTATATTGGACATCTCGCGACTGCGGAAGATCTCTTCCTCTTCCGATCCGTGGTTGTGATTTATCGATGCGTACTACCATACCTCTCCTCTTCTCATAACACTCTCTTGAAGGAAGTACAAAATGACCTGTTCAAGAGCGTTGCCAAACTTGCTCGCTCAGAACTGAATGAAGTGATGGCCTGTCTTTGGACTATCAACGGGGTTCTGCAGAATACTGACAGACTCGTAAAGCTTACTATTTCTGTTCTCAAGCCAATTCAACACTACAAGAACATTGACCTTTCTGACAATGCCAACATGGCTGTACTAGCTCGAGCTAAAAGTTATATCCGGATTGCGGGTTGTGTCGGACGACATTGTGATCTCGAAAAGTATGAACCACATTTCAAAAACGCTTTCCCGTCTTGGAACGGCGGATCAGTAGCTGGTTTAATGGTCAATTCGATCATCCCATTTACCCTTCCGAAACAGCCACTCGAGCTAAGAGTAATGGCTCTAGAGAGCCTTGGCTCTATCTGCCAGTCCTGGCCTGCTCAATTCAGTCGAGATGAATCGAGACGGGTATTGTCCATGGTTTTCAAGGAGGATAACCCGAGCCTTCAGAACATTGTCTTGCGGGCATTTGCAGATTTCTTTGCAATGCACGAAGGTAAAGCTGAAAAATCTGTTTTACCCTCAACCGAAGCTTTGGACCAAGAAAGTACTACGAGGTTAGGCGGCTCGCTGAAGGCCAGCGATAATGATGGGGCAGCTGCATTGATTGCTCAGCATTTCCTTCAGAATATGCTTCGAGTTGCGCAATCAAGACAAGATTCTTATGCTCTAACCGCTATCGAATTGATTGCTAGTATTAACCGCCAGGGGCTTGTCCATCCAAAAGAGTGCGCAGGCGTATTAGTGTCACTGGAGACTTCCACTGTTCCCTCCATCGCTAAAGTTGCGTTTGAGACACATAAGATGCTCCATCAGCAGTATGAATCTATGTTTGAAAGAGAATACATGCGAGCCGTTCAGGAGGCCTTCTATTACCAACGCGACGTCGTCGGAGATTCGACCGGTGCGCTGAGCCGTCCCTATGTTGCCAAGTTGGCACCACTGTTTGAGATAATCAAAATCAGTAACAGCCGGTATCAGAAGAAATTTCTTTCAAACCTCTGCGCAAAAGTTAATTTCGAGCTCAAGAAGCTTGATACCACTGGAAATCCACCAGAGCATCTTTTGCTAGCCCGCTTTGTGGCTCATAATCTCGCCTTCTTTGAGTATGCCCAACTTTCTGAGCTTGTACCGACTATTGGCTGTATGGAGCGAATTGTGGCTTCTACTGGGACGGCTGTAGCCCATGCCATTGAAACGGAACTCTTTTCTACCTCTAAGCTGGAACTGCCGCAAGGGGAGGGAGTCGCTATGCCCACCGCAGACCCTCCATCCCATCTGGTACCCCTGCAGCAGATCAACCAACAAGCCCTGCGGCAGTTGGCTACAGCAGCGGCGGCGCTTTCGATACTCTGGGAGGCTCGCACGTACCTCCGCCGCGTCTACGGCGTGACCGCCCACGTTCGGAACAAGGAGGCTAAAGCTGCATCTAAAGAACTGAACAAGTCGGCCACAAAGGTGCACGGTGTGACTGGCGATAAATGCTGGGACGCTATCAATCGTAACATGATGTCCTTGGATAGTGAGGAGAACATGGTTAGCAAGTGTCGAGAGTTTGCCACATTGCTTGCCATTGATGATGAATTCAAAGTCGACGATGACATGGATGCGGAGGGTGACGATGGTGTTACTGATATGGACGATCCAGCAGCTCTTGGAAATCCTAGTGGGCCACGTCCTATGAAACGAAAGAGCTCCATGTCAGGGCAGAATCCCCCAAAAAGGCCCCGGGGCAGAAAGCCTGGATCAGGCAAGAAAAGAGCCAGCACAGAGTCTGATGCTGAGTCTGATTGGAACTGAAGGAATCGCGTGCTGTTGTTGGCTACCCGGCGTAGTCAACATTTATACTTTGGTTGTTTATTGCATAGACCTCGCATATGGGATTGGGCTGGCGTTGGGGAATACACGGTTTGTTTTTCTAATTCCCAGTGACATGATATTTCTTACTCTTCGGAAAGGCGTGACTGAACGTCTTTATATTCCATTTTTCCCTTCTGATCTCTTCTACTATGTCTTCTACCATGTTATTGGGGTGGTTATCCATACGTTGGCGGCGCACGTCATATAAGGTCAAAGGTTATCATTATGCGTTGTTACCACTATAATGTACTACCTAAATCGCGGTCCTGTGCGGTACTAGTTGCTGTCTGCAAGACTTGCATGTAATATTTTTTTTCTAGTATATTCTTCTCCCGAATGATACATGATTTATGTCTCTGAGAGGTAGTTCGCAAATTGTCGCGTAATTTGAGGTCATTGTGTTAGGTAAACAGTCCTTTAATGAGTTAGCAGATCGAAAGACCAAGCCGGCAAAGGATCCGAGCGGGGCCAAGGACCTATATAAAAAGGCTTAGTCCGAAGCATGACGTAGCTTCGGTGAACGACAACACCCAAAACTATTCCATTCCGTCTTCCGTCTTTATCTTCCCCTTGGGCCTCCCCCAGATTTCTCCCTTTCTCCCTCTCTGTTGTTGGCTGATTTCTAGTTCACTCGCTATTTGTCTTACATCTCAATCGCTTAACCTGACCATCTCACATTTACTGTTCCCGCTGTGCTGAGCAATCTGTAGCCATCAACCGTCACCCTGCACGCCATGAGCGCGGTGTTGCTCCGGAGTCGACCGGACCAAACGGCGCTGAGGAGAATTGGGCTTTTGTCGAGTCGTCTATATTCCTCAAAACCCTTAGGATCAACTAGGCTTCCTACATCTCGAGCTCTTCCCTTTGGTCAAAATTCGGTACCGCAATGCCTAGCGTCGCGTGCGTTTTTCAACAGTCACCACTCGATCCGACACCAATCAACAGTACCGGAATCAACTGAATCTCCACAAAAGTCCTCTTTCCGGAATGCCTTCCTCAAGACTTTTGCCTATTGTGGATTCTTTATTGTCATGAGCGGTGCTGCAGTGGTAGCATTCTTTATCTACGATGCGACCACGTACCGTGAACAATCAAGTGCTGAAGATATTCCGGTCTCGGAATTGGCTCTGAATCCCCGACATGGTGGCCCTAAGAACTTGCCTGTTGCAGATGTGCTTGTTGGAGATTATGACTCGGAGGCCATGACGGAACAGAAGGACAAGCCGAGACTGGTGATCCTAGGCACAGGTTGGGGCAGTATCGCTCTTCTCAAACAACTGAATCCTGGTGACTACCATGTGACGGTCGTTTCGCCTACCAACTATTTCCTGTTCACTCCTATGTTGCCCTCGGCAACTGTCGGCACCCTTGGATTAAGGTCGCTCGTTGAACCAGTTCGACGGATCGTTCAGCGAGTCAATGGTCACTTCTTGAAAGGCGAGGCGGTAGACGTTGAATTCTCTGAGAAGCTAGTTGAGGTGTCCCAGGTCGATGCCAATGGGGACAGGCAAAACTTCTATGTTCCGTATGACAAACTTGTGATTGGTGTTGGTATGTCTGGAGTTCCGGTGGCCCTTTCCCACCAAACAACTTGTTCACTAACATCTCTGTAATTCAGGCTGTACAACGAATCCACATGGTGTCAAAGGGCTTGAGAATTGCCACTTCCTAAAAACTATCGACGACGCTCGCCAGATCAAGAATCAGGTGTTGGATAACATGGAATTGGCCTGTCTACCGACGACCAGTGACGAGGAACGCAAACGTCTACTTTCTTTCGTTGTTTGTGGCGGTGGTCCAACTGGTGTTGAATTTGCAGCCGAGCTGTTTGATTTGCTCAATGAGGACCTGCTCTACTCCTTCCCCAAGATCTTGAGAAATGAGATCTCTGTCCACATCATCCAAAGTCGTACTCACATCCTGAACACTTACGATGAAGCCCTTTCTAAGTATGCTGAGGTGAGTCGATTATGTTCCCATACTCATGACCATGTCAAACCTTATTAACTAATGTAGGCTCGTTTCGCTCGTGATCATGTTGATGTCTTGACCAATTCCCGAGTGAAAGAAGTTCGCGATGATAAAGTTGTGTTTACTCAAATGGAGAATGGCAAGCCTGTACTGAAGGAGATCCCTATGGGCTTCTGCTTGTGGTCAACGGGTGTCGGTAAGTGTATCCAGCCCCTTATTGTATGCTTCATTTAAAGGCTCATCGTTCCCCTAGCCCCAGCCGAAATTTGCCGGAAGCTCTCGGCCAAGCTTGATGCACAGAACAACAAGCACGCTTTGGAAACCGACTCACACCTCCGTCTCATCGGGGCCCCACTGGGTGATGTGTATGCTATTGGAGACTGCTCCACAGTTCAGAACAATGTGGCCGACCACATCGTATCCTTCTTGCGTACAATCGCCTGGGAGAAAGGCAAGGACCCAGAGAAGCTGCATCTCACGTTCCGCGAATGGAAAGATGTCGCCACCCGGGTGAAGAAGCGTTTCCCTCAAGCATCCAACCATCTTCGCCGGCTGGATAGGCTCTTTGAACAGTACGATAAGGATCATTCTGGCACTCTCGAATTCGGCGAACTCTCTGAACTTCTTCACCAAATTGACAATAAACTCACATCCCTGCCTGCCACTGCCCAGCGTGCCAACCAGCAAGGCGAGTATCTGGGTCGCAAACTTACCAAGATTGCCGCCGCGCTTCCCGGCATGAGGGCCAACGAAATCGATCACGGGGACCTCGATGAAGCCGTCTACAAGGCGTTCAAATACAAGCACCTTGGTAGTCTAGCCTACATCAGTAACGCCGCCGTCTTCGATTTTGGAGGAATGAACTTCAGCGGTGGTGTTCTCGCCATGTATTTGTGGCGTAGTGTGTACTTTGCCGAGAGTGTCAGCCTGCGTACCCGTTGTATGCTTGCTATGGACTGGGCGAAGAGAGCCTTGTTTGGAAGAGGTTAGTTTCCATGTCCATTTCCATTTCCTGAATGTTTGACCTATGATACATTCCGATACTAATGAGCTTATTTGTCCCAGACCTCATGAGTTTCTGATTTTTATCTACAGTAAACCGCCCTAGCGGCGGTATCTGCTATAAACTATCCGGTGGCTTTTCTTCTTTTTTGTTTCTTAAAATACGCTTGGGATATACCTGTTTCGTGATCTGTTTGCATTTCCAATAGATACCATTTTGTGATGGTCACTGGTATTGGCTGGATCCTCTTTGTATGCTTTGTTTGTTCTGTACTTCGAGGATATTATATTGTTGTATTTATCTCTTCAGGAATATCTGTGGACCTATTCTAGCATAAACGTTCTTCTCGTATTGTGATATAAGTAAGTGTACTCCGTGGAGTTCATCTTATCCCAGTTCAGAAAGATATATAGCCTCGGTATCTGTTTCTCACGCCGTCCCGCATACCACGGTAGGAGATATATATATCCCTCCTTAGAAGTACAACGTTTCGACGAGATAATATGTGAGGGAAGAAGGAAAAACAAAAAGAAAATAAAAAGAAAAATGAGGACAAGGGCAATTATTCGCCCCGAGATAGTTTAACCTCCTTCGACGATTATATCGTCACCATGCTCCAATGCTATTGAGTGCTTGCCTCTGGCTTGGAAACTTATAATGCCATAATGATGTGCATTGCATGTAAAGAGTACACCGAGCTAATCGGTCTTTGGCTAACATCGACAAACAAATTGTATCATCATTGCCGCACATTCCTTCCATACTACATGACTAGGTTGTTGGATGCAAGAGGAAAGATCGAACTGATACTGCAAAGTATGTGAGACTGAGGTCTAATTATAAAGTCTTGGTATTAAGGTGAGGTTGCTACAAAAGTATAGAGGTAATTGTCTTGGCCAATGTGTATCTGCGCCAAGTACCTTGCCATCGCTGACAACGCCGGAGGTAACAGTCATAAAAATGGATCGTGATATCGCACTACAGGATTAGCCGAGCCCGCTGGCCAAATCTATTAGGAGACCATTGGATCAACGTCTCCGTTATTGGCCATCAGGGTATCGTTAGTGGCGCCGTTATGACCCTTGGTGTTATTATCGTTGAGGCCCAAGTCTAGTTTCTCTGGGACATCCTTCTTAGCCTCACGGGCCTTTTGTTCCGCCCAGGCACGTAACTTGACAAGGTTGCGCAATCGGGCTTCTTTACGAGCGCCCTGATTATGCAGGATGGCTTCGTTCACGCTAGTGGCTATATCTTTACGCAAGTCAGGATGTAGAAGAGGAGCTAGAGCAGGTGTAAGGTTCTCAGTGGGGAAGATGAGGAGCGCCAGCGTCCTCTCAAGATCTTCCAAGAACTGAGGGTTGGTGGGTGCCCGGGGTGCGAGTTGCGATGTCGCGAACTCAAGGGCAGGAGTGATATCCCCATCTGGTTCAGATGTGCACGAGCGAATCAACTCCACAAGTTGCAAGCGTAGCAGTGCAAAATGCAGGGGAGGATTTTCATCCAAAATCTATACCAGTCGAGTCAGCACATATTCTCGAAATGTGAGTGGTGACAATGACAATAACAATAATGTTTTGCTGCTCATACTGAGGACTGAAGATGTTTGTTTTTCGTCAAACCTCAAAAGAGGTTTTACGAGTGGTGCATGAAACTTGGTCTAATCATAGCAAAGGGCGATGGGGGTAGAGACAGTGGAGCGAGAAAATTCTTACCTGTGGATTGAGCTCATTGATCTTTTCGATGGCAGCTTTGATATCCCCCGAGTGAATGGCAGTGCGAATTTCTACTCTTTCTTGAATAGCCTCTACATCTGCCCTGGGTTGGATGTTGGCCTCTAAAGCGAACTTCTTCGCAGCAGCTGGATATCCATTGGTGATGAGGTAGTCCATAACAAGATAGTTAATGTCACTACAGACGAGATGTTAGTCAAATCTGTGATCAAGTCGATAGACCAAAGGCATGTAGCAAAGGCGACCATTTCAGAAAGACAAGTTAAATATGTTCTCCTCAAGTGATTTCAGAGAGATTCCCAACTTGATTCAAGGTGCATCATTTGGACCGACGGGGCCGGAAAAGGGCGGGAAAAAAGAACGGGAGACTCACGTCTTGGATGGCTTGACCTCATCGACCTTCCGCTCAAACTGGTGCCATGTTGGCGTTGTTGTCGAGGAAGTGGGAGACATCTGCTTCCGTTAAAACCAAGCGACCACGCACGCACAACACGTCGGGAGGCATACGTAATTAGCAGAAGCCATGGTTTTAGAAGTACTGGGATATGGCAACACTCAATTGCTGTAGTGTTGCTGGATTGGCCGCCTGTGAAGATGGGGAGCTTCGCAGACGGGAGCCATGAGTATGTTGGGAAGAAAGAGGAGTGAAGAAAGAAGAGGAGAAAAAAGAGGAGGAAAGCGGCGGGTTTTAGGTCACGTTGATAGCTAGCTAAGAGACTAGTGTTAGCCGCAAGCGAAGGTCACGGACCACCCTAAGCTTAATGGGGTTAAGACCCAACCGACTAGGACGTTTAGCCTTTTAGGGTATTGCTGCGAGTGACCGACAACTGATTATTCCTCTTATCAGTCCCCAAGCGCCAAAACGACGCTGGGTGCTTGCTTCGTACTCTCAGTATTTTATGTGTATGATCTGAAAGTATTACACTACTCCGTGTCGGCAACCTAAATCTTCGGTGAGGTCCTAATCATGGAGTCGATCTCACCCGTATTCTCGTCGGGCACGGAGCAGCGGTACTCTCCACCATGGGAGGACTTGAGTATCATCGGTATCGCTGGTAGCTCGGGCTCCGGCAAGACTTCTGTGGCAATGGAAATCGTGAAGTCACTCAACCTGCCGTGGGTTGTGATTCTCGTAATGGTAACAATACACTTCTTCTGTTCAACATTAGAGTTTAATACAATATCAAGTGAGCTTGTGTCTCTAACGCTACTTGTATAGGACTCATTCTACAAGAGCTTGACACCAGAGCAACACGCCAAAGCGCACAATAACGAATTTGACTTCGACTGCCCAGATGCCTACGATTTTGATGCCCTTGTGCAGACCTTGAAGGATCTAAAGCAAGGGTACAGTAGCCCACTTGTCATAAACTGTCACATCAAGCTAGGGAAATGCGGCCCAAGGCTAACGAACATGCCATAAAAGAAAGAAGGCAGATATCCCCGTTTACTCATTTGCCGACCATCAGCGCCAACCACAAACAACTACGCTTTACTCCCCCCATGTGATAATTCTGGAGGGTATCCTTGCCTTACATGACCCGAGGGTGCTGGATCTTTTGGATGTCAAGGTATGCCTTTGTACTTTGTCAACGGCGTTTCTGAATGCTCACTTTTATCCTATTAGATATTTGTTGAGGCGGATATGGATATCTGCTTGGGACGCAGAAGTGGGTAATTTTCATGACATTCAAAACGGTACTTCTCTAACGCAAGAGGAGTTAGTCATGCGAGACGTTAAAGAGCGAGGAAGAGATATTGAAGGCATCATCAAGCAGTGGTTTACTTTTGTTAAGCCGTCATATACGAGATTCGTTGAACCACAACGGTCTATATCGGGTAAGTCGAATACACCTACCCCTCGAGAAATTCTTTCTGACCTCAACCTTCAGACCTTATCATCCCCCGTGGCATTCAGAATATCACAGCTATTGGTAGGCAATTTCTATGTGTTTACCAACGTCGATACTAATCTTTTAGACATGGTTGTGAAACACATTCAACGGAAACTCGATGAGAAGTCCGAGAAACACAGAGCGGAGCTAGACCAACTACGCAAAATTGCATCGGAACTGCAGCTGTCGCCTAACGTCATGGTAATGCCTTCGACATCTCAGTTTGTTGGCATGAACACAATCCTTCAAGACCCAAAAACGGAGCAAGTCGACTTCGTTTTCTACTTTGATCGACTCGCTTCCTTGCTCATAGAGAAGTGAGTCAATTGCGCACGCGACACAGAACCCCCCCCCCCCCCACCCCACCCTACCCCAAAATCACCCTTAAACTTTGTGTTCCCTTGGTTCCTTCCATTATGGCATGACAGAATCGATACGGATGACTGACGCATAACAGGGCCTTGGACTGTACCTCGTATGTTCCAGCCGGAGTAGAAACACCACAGAAGACTACCTACCAGGGCTTGAATCCGGAAGGTATAATATCTGCTGTTGCAATTTTGCGAGGAGGCTCTTGCCTTGAGACCGCCCTGAAGCGCACTATCCCCGACTGCATTACTGGTCGCGTGCTCATTCAGACCAATGCGCAGAATGAAGTACCAGAGTTACACTATTTGAAATTACCGGAAAACATACAGAAGCATACCACAGTTATGCTACTTGACCCCCAGATGTCCACCGGAGGAGCTGCCTTGATGGCTGTTCGGGTGTTGGTTGACCATGGCGTGGAGGAGCATAAGATTGTCTTTGTGACATGTGCCGCAGGAAAGATTGGGTTAAAGCGTCTCTCGACAGTATACCCGAAGGTTAGAGTCATCGTAGGACGGATTGAAGAGGAGCAAGAGCCTAGATGGATGGAGAGGAGATATTTTGGCTGTTGAGGTGATCTGGATGTAGATACGGTTGGGCACATGTGTGGCTGTATCTATAATCAAACTGTGCAAGCTGGGAACCATCGCTCTAGAGAGTCATGACAGAATATATATAACGTCAAATGAATGAATACCACTATAACCATATCCTTCTGCCACCATAACTGAGCTTCGGGCGAACGTGATTGTTTTGAGTTCAGATCTGCCATACTACAGCCAGTACTAGTACTATGTGCGAGTGCACGGGCCACATCCAAGACCGCCGAAGAATCTTTGGTTCCGCCGCCGCAAAAGAAAATTATCCTTATCACTTTTTATCAACACAAGAAAAAGTCAAGGCTACAACCAAACAGCCTTTGACTGTGTTTTTAATTCCCCTGTTTAATATCTCATTTGTTCTTTTCTTATAACGTCCCATCACAATGCCAGACCAAAAGAAAAGCAAAAAGAGCGGCGGCGCCAAAAGGCAAGCCGACTCTGTCATCAGTATGCGCCCTCGTCTCTTCTACGCTAAAACGACCATAACTAACAATTCTGCCTGGGTATAATAGCCGATCCTCGTTTCGCCAATATTCAAACAGATCCTCGTTACCGTCTACCTAGCAAACGGCAGACACATGTGAAACTCGACAAGCGTTTCGCGCACATGCTGCACGACAAAGACTTTTCTCGGAATGCTGCAGTCGACCGATACGGACGGAAGCTCGCCCGCGATGATACGAAGAAGCAGCTGGAGAGATTCTACCGACTTGAGGGGGACGAGGAAGACGAGCAAGACGAGGAAGACGAGCAAGACGAGGAAGACGAGGAACACATGAGCGTGGCTGACGACGATGAGGTCCTCAAAGAACTTAAGAAGGCGGATAAGGCTAGTGGCACTTACGATCCCGCGCGTGATGGAGGCTTTTCGTCTTCGTCCTCAGAAGAGGAGAGCTCCGACGAAGAGGAGGATGAGGATGATGAATTTGGCGCGGGCGAGGAGCTTGAGTTTCCGGATAAACAACAGAGCGGCGTCCCCACAGGTGATGTAACAGAACGGATTGCGGTGGTGAATCTGGACTGGGATAATATACGGGCAGAGGATTTGATGGCCGTATTCTCTAGTTTTGTTCCTGCTGGTGGACGGGTACTGAAGGTTTCTGTCTATCCGAGTGAATTTGGAAAAGAGCGCATGGAAAGAGAGGAGACGGAGGGCCCTCCTAGAGAGATATTTGCTGCGAAAGACGATGATGAGTTTGAAGGTTTCGAAGACGATGACTCAGATGTTGACTCAGATGAGGAAGAGGAGGAGATTAAAAAGTCAATGCTGAAGGAAGACAAGGGCGAAGAGTTCAACTCTACGGAACTACGAAAGTATCAATTGGAGCGACTACGCTACTACTATGCTATCTTGACTTTCTCGAGCAAGGATGTGGCGAAGCACGTCTACGATTTGGTCGATGGTGCTGAGTATCTGTCGAGCGCAAACTTCTTTGACCTTCGTTTCGTCCCCGACGACACCGACTTTTCCGATGATAAGCCTCGTGACGAATGCAAACGGATTCCAGATGGTTATCAGCCTAATGAATTTGTGACCGATGCGCTGCAGCATAGCAAAGTTAAGTTGACCTGGGACATGGAAGATAAATCACGAAAGGAAGCTCAAGCACGGGCGTTCCGAGGTAGCCGAAAAGAAATTGATGAGAATGACTTGAAGGCTTACCTCGCCAGCGATAGCTCCTCTGAGGACGAGGACGAGGACGGCGGAGTGGAAGTTGTGGATACTACAAAGGATGACGGCGGAAGTTCTAAGAAAATCTCTAAGAAAGAAGATGAGAGACAGCGTATGCGCGCTCTCTTAGGGCTGGGTACGGAGCCAGCACCTTCCTCTAAGTCCGACGGCCCTGTTGGCGAAATGGAAGTCACGTTTACCTCGGGTCTGGCCGGCGGCTCCAACAAAGACAGCATTTTTGAGAATGAGCCCGAGAAAGATGAGACTACGATTGAGAAGTACATTCGCAAGGAGCGTGAGAGGAAGAAGCGGAGAAAGGAGAAGTTGAAGGCGTCCAAGAAGGGTGACACTGAGGCCGATGAACAGGATGATGCACCTGAACCGGAAGAGAAGCCCCAGGAGGAAGATCTGGGCTTCAACGATCCATTCTTTGACGACCCCTCTGGTAAGGAATCCGCTGCAGCTCGCCGCAAAGAGGAGAAACGGAAGAAGCGGGAGGAGCGTGCTGCAGAGGAAGCTGCAGCCGCCGCTAAGCGAGCCGAGCTCGAGCTGTTGATGATGGATGATGAAAACAAGAATATCAAGCACTTCGACATGAATGAGATCGAAAAGGCAGAGAAACAAGCCCGTAAAAAGGGCAAGGGCAAAGGAAAAGGCAAGCAGGCGGCACAAGTGGTGGACGACTTCCAAATGGATGTCAGCGACCCGCGTTTCGCTCGTTTGTTCGAGAGCCACGAGTTTGCTATTGATCCTACCAATCCTCGCTTCAAGGCGACATCTGGTATGAAGCAATTGCTGGAAGAAGGACGTAAGCGACGTAGGAACCGGGACGACCGTGCGGACGAGGAAGAGGTCAGCCGCAACGATCAGAAGAAGACGAAGAAGCAGAAGAAGAGCGAATCCACTGAAGGTGGATCAGAGGATCTGAAAAAGTTGGTGGACAAAGTGAAGCGGAAGACACAGAAGAGTTGATTGGTTGTATGATTAAGGCGAAGATCACCAAATTTTAGGGCAAACAGTCAACTGGATTCGGATAGAATAAGCATAAATTAATTTCCTTCTTTTTACTTTCTCCCCTCTGTCTTGTAAAGAATGTGGAATCGATAATCGATTCGACATGTTTCGTCTTGGTCGGGGGGTTTTGTTTGTTCATAGTATGAGACGCATAGATGAACGAAGGAGATAGTCTCACCTCAGCCCCTCCTCTCTGCGCTGTATGTGATGGCTGCAAGTCTTTCCCCTCTCTCCCCAGATTAGGAAAATGGCAGGGAAGCGGGACGCATTTATGCAGGATGAGGTGTAGTGTAACCGGTTGGGCCAACGAATGCCCCATGCCCGTGATCGGCGATGAGGCTGATGATCATGTGTGCCCTCACCGCCCTTTCATCCTCGATTGATCCTCACTTTAGCTTCTCTTTCTCTCCCTTTCCCCATTTCTTTTCTTTCCCTCTTGCTCTTTTCCCTCGTGGGTGTTTTCTTGTGTCTGGTGGAGCCTATCACGTCCCCCTCCCCTCCAATTCCCTGCCTCTGATCCCACGCTATTCTGCGAATACCCCTCAATTGCTGTTTTTTTTCCCTTGCCTTTCCTTATCATTAGCCAAATCAAACAAATTCCCCCTCCCCTCCCCTCCTTCCATTGTAAAGCGATTTCACTGCCCTCTTCTTTCATTCTTTCTTTCAATCTACCCACTCAAGTAACACCAGTCTTCTGTTCAACCATTGCATGTTTGTCGATCCGCTCATTCGATCATGATTGCTTTCTGGTGTGATTGAATCATGGGGAACTGCAGTTCCAAGATAGTTTAACTGTCTGGCTGTTGGTTGCCTGTTTTCTACTTTCATCATTGTAAACAACATTGTGCTTTGCGGGGACGGCCCCTCTTCTCTTTGACTGACTTCTGTGTTTCTTTCCCTGCATACGGATCCTTGCCTGTCACCATGCTGGGCCGGTTACTAAGTACTGCAGCTTCCACATTGAACCCGGCGGCTTATTCTGCAAAAAATCCCCATCAACTCGAGTCCGTCACAGAAGAAGAACATACCTCTGGCCTTCTATTCCCTGATGCAAGCCTTCTCCGTCGCTCGAATACACACGCGTATCCCCTTCATACGGCTTTCAATTCCCCGAATGCTTCTACCGCCGGTGCCTATGACGATCGGGGAGGGGTTGACTTGGATCCTACGAAGGACTTTCGTGTAATCATCGCTCAGAATGCGCTTGGAGATAGGGATGCCTGCGTGCTACTGGATACTCGTGCTAGTTCGGAGCCTGTCACCTATGGCCTTGGACTGGAACCTCAGGCATTTGAAAGCTCAGGCGTACGGCATGCTCGAACGGTCTCGAATCTGACCCGGGGACCTCGACGAGGTTACTTGTCTCAGTCGTCGACAGTGGAACCAAGTCCGCTTTCCTTTGCTACAGAAGCCCGCAGATCTCCCCCACTGTCGTCTGGTGCTTTTATGCGCGCCCGTGGTCGCAGCTCCACGTTATCACCCGCTGGAGGCCCTCACGATCCTGGCTATTCGCGTCATTCGACGGATTCGAACGACGCTGGTCTATTGAACTGTATATTTGGCAGCAGTGCATTCAGCTATCGAGGATCCTCTACCAAGATGCACATTATTACTGCCGATGACGAGCCTGGTAGGACTGCGAGCGCATCTCCCGCCTCCCGCAATTCTTTTACTCGATCCTACACTACCGGGAGTTCATCGGCCTTCGTGAATTCGAACCGGGGGAATGACGGAAAACCACCGTCAAAAGTGACCATTCTTGTAACGCGGATGTTTAGCGTCAATCTGCCGGAGGCGGGTGAAACCTCTCCAGACAGACAAGACACTGCTGCTTCCTTGTATCAAGAATCACTTCCAGAATCTGGCTTCCCGTTCCCCGACCTCACTAAGCGCAAAAAATCAAAGAGAAGAAAACCCCAATGTACGCCGTGGCGATCACTATCCAAATCCCTCTTCTGGGTCGCAATGCCGGTCGTCCCGTTTCTCGGTTTAGCACCCAAGGCTCTGACTCGCCCAAGCCAGGGATGGCGTGCTCGCTGGATTCGGACTACCGCTGGCGCAATGGGTTCTTAGACGACAGTTTGTCACTTGCTTCCCCTCCAGCAAGCCTGGACGAAAGAATCGACTTGCTAGTGGATCACTGGGATGTCGTTAACCGCACCTTGTCGCATCTGGAGAGACTCTCTCGGAAAGAGATCCTATTCCTCCTGAAAAAGGTGGATTCATCGTCTGGAATACACCCGAAGCCAGCTAAACCTCCGAATATGCAACGCACAAATCAAACTATAATTCACTTGCCCGCGAACATCTTGGCGGTAAATTCAAAGCTTCGGGAAGAGGCTATTCGCAGTACCCGCCGTATCAGCACGGCTCTTCAAACCCCATATGTCGTAACAGGACAAAGTCGGTGGGGTGTATGGCGCGAGGAAGGCCGTTCGATTGTTCGCAATCTTGGGGACAAAGACCATAGTTTCTTCTTCCTGGTGCTCATTACCGCGTTCTTGGGGAATCACACGGAGTGGCTCAACGCATTGGGCCCAGAATGGTGGCGACGCCGGCACTACATACAACAGAAGGCCCAACAACAGGACTCTGATCCGATCCTAGCGAACCGTACTGTAATTGTTTCCCCCGACAAGATGACTGCTCGTCGGCTTATATTTTTGCTCTCTGCGTTTCTTCCCCCCAAGCAGCGCTTTGAACCTCTTCCGTCACCCATTCGACCTGGCACATCTTCCTCAATGCGTGCTGTCTCACAAAGTCCGCCCAATGTCCCCGTCCTACGACAGGAGTCTCTGCGCAGAGCCATCGAAAGACGGTCTCGTGCGCAACGTTTGAATCTCGCTGATAGAGATCAACACCAGCGGTCTGTGAGCGTGTCATCAAGTGAAACCGCACACCGCTCAACAGATGATACCGAGACCGCTGTGCCAATGGAATTCGCAGCAACCAGGAGAGGGTCCGATGCACGTTCCATTAGAACATTAGGGGTCCCTATGCACGCGAAGGATGCGCGCAGCAAGAACACCAGCACCGCAACAACATCCACCGCCACCCCTGGTAGCACTGTCCCTGTCCCGCATTTTGCTTCACAGAGCCGGTTAGAACGGGATAGGTCGGACCACTCCATGCATGAAGGGGCTGATAGTCTGGCATCTGAGAACCTGCTGAAGAATTTGAAACGAAGTGAAAGTTCGGTGTTGAGTACCAACAGCAGTGTGCCTTCAACTACTGGCCGATGGGGTAGCCTGTTCTCGGGATTATGGAGCTCACGCCAGGAGTCATCCACCGGAAGCAGCGAAGCCGTTTCGCCAGCTGAGATCCGTAGGCGCTCTGTCTCTGGATATACACCGCTGCCGAAACGAGGTCCTCCTACCTTAAGTCAAATGGTAAAAGAGGTCTCGACTGAAATACCTGAAGAAGTGCCTACAGTAGCCACAAGTGGCAATATTTCCATTCCTCACTCTAATACCCAACATCTCGAGGAAGATGTGCAGGATCTTTCGTTAACGGTGGGCCATAACAGAGAGTCTTCCTTGAAATTATCCGTACGGGGCGATGACGGAATTGTCGACGTTGACCTTCCGTTGCCTGGTTTTGTCTCGCTGTCTTCATCAGGTGACTCTACCATGACTTCGCCGAAGAAGACACGGACCTCAGTAACTAGTGTGGATGCTGTAGCATCTACGCACAGCAGTGGTTCAGGCTTTCCCTATGCGCCTAGAGAAAACGACGGGCCTAATATCAATGTTGCTGGTTGGCTGAGAAGCTTTCATGAAGACTTTCTGCTCCAAGCAGTGCGGCCTTATTCAAACTTGGAAGCCGATGTGAAACGCGCAATGCAAGCTGAACCTACCCCAAGTCATGCATTTTCTTCTGAAGCGGATGGGTCAGAGAGATGGGTCGATGTGGCTACGACGCTAATCGCTGACGCAAGAACGTTCACGGTTAAGCGACTGCGCCTCAGACGGAAAGCTATCAACAATGACTTTTGGCGAAGCCCTACTCCACCTCCCATTTCTCAGCCTGGTACCCCTCGTCACATCCCTGGAGGTTCTATTTCGTCTTCCAGCAAAACATCTACTATCTCTCCCATAGAAGGTTACGAGCCCAACGAATTCGAAGAGCGTTTTGTCGAAGAACCGGTCATGGATCTGGACGGCACACTGGTTGATGCACTTGAACGCGTTCTTGCTCAAAGTGGCCCATCGTCTTTGGCTCACTCAAGGGCACCGTCTCCATCGCGGGCTCGCAGGGGCGATGATAAGGGCACATCAGACGCAGCGAATCGGGATGAGGCCCAGGTTCCTTCTCTGGAGGTCCCTCGCACTGAATGTCGCAAGCTCGTCCTTGGGGCACTTGAAGAAGTTGTTCGCAGTGTAACTACTGAGCATTGTCGGGATGATGTTGATGGGGAGCTTGCTATGGCAGACAGGGAACGCAAGCGTTCATTAGCTGGACCCGACAATACGTTAAGAGAAGGGGTGCGTAGGTGGCTTCTTGACGTTGAAGAGGCTTGGTGATTCTTTTTTCTTCTCTTCATCTGATTTTCCTTCTAACCTAGTATTTTTTTCCCCTTTACTTTTTTTTAAATATTCTTCACATCCCTAGGTCTGTTATAAGATGGATGCTAGTGTTTTGCTTTTGGCAATTTCTTCATTCACAGACTTTTCTCTCCTTTACTTCAAATACGGGTGGAGCTTCCTGGTTCATCAACATCAGAGCCGGAGTTAGTCTGTGGCCAACTTTATCATTGCTTTCTGAACATCATGATACCCATGTGTTGTGTTTGTTTTTCTTGCCAGTCTTGTATTTACGACTCGTGATTCACCATTGACATGAGTGGAGCTGTGACAGTCTTCTAGCTAGCTTTTATGATTATTCTGCGTGAGCTTTCAACTTGATGCATACTAAAGTCAGCAAGGGATTGCTGCTTGTACAACTTTTCCCAGACCACCTTGGATGCGATCCGTTCTACATGTCCCATCCTAACTGTGCCACATCCAGAGGAATATATTGAAAACATGTTTCGACCTGTCTAAATTTTTTCAATACAACAGCTACCAGAACACAGACCTTAAGGATCTGCCAAATCAGATTCAGCCAGTTGATATAACTCTCTACCTATATCACCCATAACTCGGTATCTATCGCCAATGATGCCCTCCTGAGCTGGAGGGTCAATCACTCCAAACCAGGCGATGATAATATCTGTGATGGTCTATCCGCGTTAACCCGTGTCTCTCAGACAATATAGTGCTCAGTATCCAGGTACATTAGACATATATATCCATTTGTCTCAAAGACATCTTGACCTGCGAGAAGAATATATCCTGCCATAAATAGTCCAGCTGCCTTGAGCTCAATAAAACGATATAGATGGACGGAGAAAGATTAATTCACCGTAATAGGCACCTGACCATACCAATTACACTTAGTGTTATAAACACGCTGGCTATTTAACGTGCGTTATTCTTTGAGTTCCTGTCAGGATTGCTGGTAGAAAGAATGCTATTGTATTATCAGCCGAGGCATAGAACCCAAGACTATGGATGACTTTCTATGGCGAGCGCCTTCACCCCATTTATTATGTATTGGCCATGGCTTCTGGTTACGTTCAATTCGGTAGTTGGGTAGTTGTACATTCTATTCTATATTCTTTTTTTTTTTTTTTTTTTCTCTCTTTACATGTATATAACGATTAGTGGAAACCATGGATAAGGGGATCTTTTGCGTGCACCTTGTTATATTACACACAAGGCCGTTGGTGATAGTAGTGGCTTACCTATCCATGATACTATAGACTTCACTTCTTTTGAACATTGGACTACATATTGTCGAGGAACTGGCATATCATAATAGTCAAAATGAGCACATTCTACTGTTCATGTCAATAATATATCTAAAGGTCTATAGTATAGAGACTAATGTCTAACCCGAACCAGCTTCACTCCGGCATCATCGGCAACTACCTCATCGCCTTTCAGGGCAAGCTTCACAGTCTTCAACACCTCATGAGTCTTGCGTGGATCGACGACCTGGACCGCCACTTCGTCCGACAGCGATCCATTAACCAGCACCTCGAGGCCATCCAGCGCATCGTCCTGCGGCGCCTTCAGTTTCGGGTTAATCGGAGTGACCGAGCCCGGCCTAATGAGGATCGGAAGAGTATCGAATCCATGCGTTTCTGTGTACCACTGTCCCGGCTCGTAGGTCTTGCTGTGATCGAACCATGAGATCCACTTTCCTTGAGAATCCTGGGGAGTCCGAGGCACATAGAAGGTGACGGTACCCTCGTCCGTGAAAACGGGAGCAATGAGCAGGTTACTGCCGAACATGTACTGTGTATCGAGAGGGTAGGTATTGAGATCATCCGGGAACTCGAGAAACATGGGTCTCATGAGCGGGGTACCCTGGTCATGGCCTGTGAGGGCTTCGGCGAGGAGGTAAGGGGTGAGGAGGATCTTGCGTTTGACGCAGTCACGGAGGACGTCCGAGCAATCTTCACCGTAAATCCAGGGAACTCGGAAGGAGGAGGATCCGTGGAGGCGGGAGTGTGAGGAGAGGAGTCCGAATTGGACCCAGCGTTTGTAGAGGGCTGGTGGCGGGGTGCCCTCGAAGCCACCAATGTCTGAGGCCCAGAAGATGTAGCCTGAGAGCATGAGACTGAGACCACCACGGAGGGACTCGGCCATGGCTTCGTATGTGCTTTCGCAGTCGCCACCCCAGTGGACGGGGTAGATTTGGCCGCCAGGCTGGTGCTGCGAGCGAAGAGGAGGCTGTTGGATTTCCCATAACGGTCAGTCATGGTCTCGTAGACGACTTTGTTAAAGAGGAGGGTGTAGTAGTTGTGCATGCGGGTTGGGTCGGATCCGTCGTGATACTGGACATTTCTGTAGGGGATACGTTCGGCGAAGTCGGTTTTGAACGAGTCGACGCCCATGTCCATGAGACGTTTAAGGTGGTTTGAGAACCATGTGCAGGCGGCAGGGTTTGTGAAATCTACAACGGCCATACCCGCTTGCCAGTAGTCCCATTGCCAGACCGAGCCGTCGGTACGCTGTGTGTTTGTCAGTATGCGTTCCCAACATCTCTCCGTTTTGAGTGAGCGTTGTGGGGTCGTACCCTGATGAAGTAACCATTCTTTTTGCCCTCCTCAAACAATGGCGATGCCTGTCCAACGTATGGGTTGATCCATACACTGATCCGGAGATCGCGCTCCTTGAGTCGCTGAAGGTAGCCTCCGGCGTCAGGGAACATATCAGAGTCGAACTCAAAATCGCACCATTGATAGGACTTCATCCAGAAACAATCGAAGTGGAAAACGCCCAATGGGATATCCCGGTCCCTGAAGCCATCGAGAAAGCCGGTGACGGTTTGCTCGTCGTAGTTTGTGGTGAAGCCTGTTAAAATGAAGATGTTCAGCGTTTAGAGGCCAATTTTGATAGAAGGGAGTATACGCACTGGTAGTAAGCCACAAATTGTAACTCCAGGAGGGAACTAAACTAGGACGTCCGGTCAAAGCCGTATACCGTCTGATGATCTCCTTGGGAGTGTTTCCATAAACCACAAAGTACTCCAACTCTTCACCGGCAATCGAGATATTGACTCGGGTAGTTCGCTCTGACTGCAGCTCCAGGCTGACTTTGCCAGGGTTGTTCACAAAGACGCCGTACCCCTTGGAGCTAATGTAGAATGGGATGTTCTTGTATGTCAATTCAGACGATGTACCTCCATCTTCGTTCCAAATGTCGACACTTTGTCCGTTCTTGACGAATGGACCGAACCTCTCTCCAAGGCCATATAGTTTCTCGCCAACCCCGAGATCTAATGCGGCAAGCATGTGTCCTTGACGCTCAAAGAAGATCCCATCGTCCCAACGAGACTTCTCTGTAGTTTGATCGCCAACATAACCGATGGATCTCCAGGAGTGACCAGTGAGCTTCCCTTTAGCTCCAGAGAACACGAAATCTAATTCGTTGGGTGCTGTATTGATGGCCAAGTTCAAGGGGCCACTGCCATAGTTCAGCTTCACGTTCTTCTCGTGGTCAATCTTGGTATGGCCAGTTGACGAACTCAACTGATAGTGAGGGCCGTTATCGACTTGTCCTGCCCTGGATGCCATATATCAGTAACTGAGCGAGGAGTGGAAGAGCCAATGCTGTTTTTTGCTAAAACAATCCGCACTTGAATGAACCTACCAATGAACAAGTTTGACGCCGATAATGCCTTCCAAAGGAGACGTTACGCTTGCAGTGACGGTTGCTGATTCCGACACTTTGTTAGTTTTTGTTCAACCTAAATCAACCTGGAAAGAAACCAACCTGAATTAAGGGTGTCACCACGATGCCGCTGGAATTTATTTAATAATAAATCGACTTTCTCATTATTAACGTGCAGTCTCTCGACATTGTTCATCCAATCAATTCGAATGCCTTCCTGCGAGATCGTTAAACCACATTGATCAGGAGGCAAGTGCAAGTATACTTACGCGCAGGCGCCACATCCCCTCGGTGAACTTCATTTTTGCGGTTCTGAGGGGGGATTAGGCCCGAATAATTGTCGGCTGAATCTAGAAAGTCCCCTGATCAAAGGTAAATGCGCAATTGACGAGTCGCGCTGCGCAAAGAGAGAGAATCAGCTCTATGTACCAAACCCAGTGGTGGTATCTCGCACTAGCGCATTTGCTTGTAGGACTTCCAGGCCCCCTCATCCGAGAGAAAGGGAGCATCTAGCTTTAATAAGAACACGCCCGCTCAGGCGATTGACACTCCCCAGTCGTCTGATGGTGACATATTGAGGCGGGGTAGCTCTGGCCATTGCCTAAATCGAAACGGACCTTGTCTTGTAGGGGTTTTGGGGTTTGGGGTTGATGGTGCTTCAGACTGATTGCGCCAATCATACTGGGACATAATGGACCGCTAAACTAGCTGCGAAAAAGGCTGGATGGTGGTAATTAACCTCCGCGTGAACGGGTAAATGAATTGAACCGAGCAGACGAAGTAGTCTTGATTCATCCTCTCTTGGCGGCGCGGGGGGAAAGCCGACTCCTTTGCTTATTTATTGTAAAAGGAAGGTCACACGTGCTAGCCCCGAGCCTGGGGCAATCAAGCCGATGTACATATCGATATAGTGTAATAAGACAACTAGTGCATAGAACAATAGTATATATTATGTCTAGGCGCTAAATACGTCTGCACATATTCGTAGCTATTATTATGTATTCAAGTCTTCCCAAATCCGCAAGTAGTACTTTTCATCAATCTTCATAACTGTATTTCCATGACCGAAATTACTTGTCATGGGTCGGGGTATATGGCTAACGTTCTATGTTAGAGAAAGTGGTCTCAAGCTGCCGCTTCTTGGACTGCCTTTGGACATATTACTATCGTCTCGCGACAGATTCCTCATCTCAGCCAATGGCGCGGCGATGCTTTGTGAGGACCTTGATGCTAGACCAGGTGGAGGCGATATGTGATGGCTGACGACACTGGCAGGTAGTTCAAGAGAAGGTATGGACGCATCCGTGAGTGTGGTGGGCGCCGGGCCGACTTTGGTTGAAGTCGCGCGTACTTGTGCCTCACTGTAGAATTGCTCGAGTCTGGCCGGATCATTGCAGAAGTCTGCAAACCCGGTAAGGATATGTTCGGGGGCTCGGTACAGATTTGCAGAATCAATGCTCGCGTGTCCCTGAGGGCTTAGGGGGCTATGGACCTCGTGGACTGGCCGAGTCATGGGCGAAAGGCGTGGAGAGATACGGTCCACAGGATCGTAGGTCCCTGCGCGTGCTCGATATTGATCAGGTCGGTCTAGCCGCTCATGTCTCGGCATGTCACGACTGGCAACACTGCGTGTGCTGACAAGTCGGTTGGCAAGAAGTAGGAAATCTCCTTCGCCAGTGATCTGAGCTAGAAGACTGCCAGATCGATGAATATACTGAGGGTATTGGTAGTCAGGCATGCCCCAGGAATATGACACTTCGACGTCTGCGGGATAAGAGGACCTGGCCTCAAAGTCAAGGACAAAGTCGAACTTCCGTAAGAGGGCCTTATGGAAGTACTGATGGTCCAATGTAACCGGCTGGGAGAATGACTCCGAGTTGCATTGGAGTGGAATTGGGCCCTTAGGGGGAGGAACTTTGAGTTGGATGCGGTATGGCTTCCGGAATGGCTGGGTTTTGTCAATAGCGCAGGCTTCGGCAATGGGAACTTGGACGAGCTTCAACCCAAATTTCTCGGCCGTTGAAGCCCATGACAGTACCGTATCCTCAATGAGTTTGGGAGTGGTATTCATCCAGCTGAGCTCTATATGGAAGCAATTCTCGGGATTATGCAGCCGATCATAATGAAGATCAATGACCTCAGGGCGATTTGAGCGTTTGCGAGGGTCGACGTCGTATTTCATAGCCTTAGACAATGTGATAGAAGCCTTGTTCTTAAATTTTGACGGCGTACTAGGAGTCTGCGGCTGCATATCCTCCATGCTATCGGTGCGAGTATGACCACTTATAGGTGAGCCTTTCGCGGCCTCACCCGCCGGGGTTGAAGGAACTGACTTATCCGGCCGTATTTGGGGGAACCAGCTACCACGAGATTCAGGTCGCGAGACACGATACTCGCTAGAGATCTGGTAGAAATAATTGCCATCCCGAAAGTTGTGTCTCTTTTCTACATGCTGGAAGAGACCGTGTTTCATCAACTCGTTACCAAATTCGACTGCCTCTTCCCGGCTATCAATGTCGCGGAAGTTTTGGAGTAGCCAAGTCGTAAATTCGAAACCAATGAAACAATTGTAGTGCAGCCGCCAGTGCCACCTTCGATCCATCATCCTCACCCCCTTTTCACCCTGGATTATCTGCGCCAAGGATGATAGACTGATACTAGAGCGCTCGAGTAGTTCTGACTCTGGAAGTAGCTGTGCAGGGGATGAGTCTAGCCCGGGATCCACAAGTATGATACGGTCTAATTCAGCCGCAATGACCTCTGATGGGTTCCGTGTCTGGTACATGATGTTGAGGGGGTTCTGCTCCCTCTTTTTGTTGGAGCTTTCGAACCGCTTTTCCTCTGGAGGGATATACTTGTGGCGTTGCCATATATGTGTGAGCTGGTTGATGCCAAGCAGATGAATTTCTTCTTCATTATCTTCATTGAATCCATGAAGGCGCCGAGATTTGAAGTGCAAACGCATCGGGATCAGGACGTAACGCACACGCCAGAAGTGGAGTTGTTGGGCTGCATTGAACAAGTAGTCTCGGTGGCCCGCCACATAATTATCAGCGTAGTTCCAGTTGTATTCCTCATACGTCGAGTCTAATTTTATATCCTTCACCACATATTCAGGACTTAAAATTGTTCTCATCGCCGGAGAATACAGAGTGAATTTTCGCTTCTGATCTGATGCTAAAAGCGAGGAAGTCCGATGCGTGTACCGCGTAACTTCAATCTCCGCACCCTCAACACAAATAAGTCGATGGATCGAGTTGCCTTTGGACAAGAAGACAGTAGCCCCGGCCCTTTCCAAACTATGAGTGTCGAATACGTTCGGTGACTGGAGTGAATATTGCCCGGAAGCTTCAACTACATTTTTCCCAACAACGATCTGGAACCCATGGGAAAGCCGTAGTGAAATCATTTCCCGGAGAAGCAAGCCTCTTGTTTTAGGCGCCTCAATACCTTCTGAGTCTTCGTTGGGGAAGACACGGTATGGAGTCTGCAAATAGTCCGATGCAAGTTCACTTGGAGTGGGGAACTCTTCTGTTGTTAGCGGGAGAATAGCCGGGGACTTCAAGCTCTTCCATTTGACCACCGCAACATGAGGAGGTCTTGGATAAGCATGCTGCCAGCGCCCAAACCAGCTAGTGTCTCGCAACACTTCTCTTGGGGTGTTGCAGGGGTTAATTGAGCGAACCCAAGGAGCCAACGCCTTACTTTGTGGACTTTTTGAGGATCCATTACGCGATCCAGTACTCAAGGTTACCTCGAATTTAGGCCCATGCCGTCTTGGTTGAGCTGTAAGGCGAGTGTCCTCGCCTAGAGGGATCTCGGTAGTTGTAGTCGAGACCGACTCCGGTATGGCTGGACGTCCTTGCTGCTCTGTGTCTTGGAGTGGCTGTTTGGGAGGCACTTTGATCGATATCGGTCTTGATGGCGTAATAGCCGTGCTCTTGATTGGCTTTTGGGGTGTCTCTGGGGACGGGGCCAGGTCGATTACGGTCGATGCACTATCTGACGCACTCAAAGAATCCACGCTTCTATTGTCTGCAAGAACACCCGACAATTTCCTTGAATTTGATGTTGGCAAGCCTCTGGCGTGCTCAACATTTACTTCTGTGCTAGCCTGAGCTCTGGGAGGGGTAGAACTGAGGCCACGAAGAGCGAAGCTGATTGTGCGCGATATACGCGGCAACTTTGCTTTGGAGGAGCTTTTTAAGGCTGGTTTCTTGGGAGAAGCGCTTTTCGTAGACACAGGGCTTTTAGGGGCTGGAAGTGGGATGTCGAACTGTCGCGATGCTGAACGAGTACTCTCGTTTTCCCTAAGACGCAATATAGATCTAGCAGAAATCCTTTCATGTGCATTAGATGCGTTCACTTCTGGCTCACTAGGCCTTTTAAGTTTGGACGGCTTCCGGCGATGTCGCCTTTTTCTAAAAGGCTGGAACACATTTTCGTCATAATTGTCCATCCAGGATAGCACCGTTTTTGGCGTTTTCTTTGATATAGCAAGCATTGCATCCTTTGAGCTTGCTATATTATGCAGGAACGGCTCCGGTCGGAGACTGTCGCTCAATTGATGTCGGAAAGGAGAACTGCGCCTGAAAGTAGCCTTAGGGGGAACAAGACTACCTGGACTAGAACCAAGGACAGAACTGGCAGCTCTAGAGATACTCTGCCCCTCTGAGAGGTAGGGAATTGATATATTTGATTGTTCACTCTCCATCACGCCCATCATTTGAATTTCAAACATCCGCACCCGCGGAACAAAAACTTTGGACTGCTTAGTGACAGTGAATGGAATAGGCGCATTGGGGTCTTTTTTCAGGATACGCCGAGACTCTCTGTAGGTTTCAGGGTTCCAATATGATATATCAAGCCAGTGGGGAATCCCATAACTCCATTCATTTGACCGACCAGACCAATTTGATTTAGAGCTCATCCCTGTGAATGAATCCAGGAGAGCTGACTTCGGGGAAAGGTGCGGCGTCTTACTTGATAAGCTCGCAAACGAATGGCGCATTTCAGGAGAGTTACCCCCATGCTGGATATCACCGAATGTGGCAGTAGTAGGCCTCTGAGCTGGCTCCCGATACTTGAACAGAGGCACGGAGTGAAGAGGCATAGGGCTAAGACAGACAAGATCAATGGCGATTCCGCGGTTCGTGAGTGCTTCAGTAGTGGAGGCTAATGATTCGTATGATACTTCAAAAACACCGCTTCCGGGCGTAATGACTATGATTGAAGTACCTGTATGAACCATATCACGGTCAATATGGTCGAATGCTAGATGGGAAGATGCAAGATGGATAGC